TCGGCAGCCTCACCCCGGCCTGGCAGGGCCAGGGAAGCCAGCGAGGCGCAGGGGAGGTGGAGGGAGGGTTGGTGAGCAGCTGCCGGAGGGGAGGCATCTGTGATTCAAATTGGTGGCTGTGCAGCCAGGTAGAGAGTGAAAGGGGTAGTGAAGAGGGCTGTTAAGTCCATTGCTGTCAATTTGTAACGATCAGGGAGGGGCCCGAGGACTGGTTCAGCACAATAAACCCAGTTTGTCTGGTTTCAGGGGTTACCACTGAAGAGGTTGCAGCTGCACTGATTCGAATAGCCTGGAGACTTCAGAACTGTAATTATCAACCAGGCTGCTCACTCGCGGTGTGGCAAAAGTGGGCTTCACCAGCGCTTAACTCCTTGTGTGCCGCCGCTCTCCCCGCCCCCGGGCGTGGCCGCTCCTTGCGCATTCCCAGGCATCCTCCCCAGGGGAAACCGAGGCCCCGTGGCTGCTTAGGGCAGTCCTCAAAGGCCAGAGCGTGCCAGGCAGCAAGGTTTTTTCCTTAGGTCACATACAAAAAAATAGTGGGGGGTGGCGAGGAGGCTAGTTCTCTGCTGACAGATCACCATCTGGCACCATCGCCTCTGCCCTGGGGTGGGAAGTCAGGCTTCTGAGTCCGATGACACACTGGCTGTGGATGTGGGACAAGGCTCACCCCCTCTGTAAGTGGGAGTAATCGTCCCTACCCTACTGAGCTGTCACAAAGACTACCTGAAATCCCGTTTGTAAAGCACAGAGCACACAGTAGGCTGTCAATAAGCCTCCTTCATTCTGATCCGAGGCCTGTTGCTGTCAGAGGAAGACGGGGTGGGCTGGGGTGGGATGTGGGGGGGATCTGTTTCCCAGCAGGGGCACCTGAGGGCAGGACTTCTGCAGGCACACCCCCCATTTCAGCTCTCAGGGAGTCCCTTCATTCTCCAGCCACTGCCATTTGTCACCCAAGGGACAACCATCCTCCCATCCCTTAGGCAGGAGGCACTGGGTAAGGAAGGAGAAGAGGCAAGAGCTCCTCCAGTGCCCTGAGGAGGCCGCTGAGGGGGGGGGTTGGGCTAGTTCTCGGGGACCCAGAGCGAAGGCAGGAATGAGGGAGGGGCAGAGGCCAGGAGGGGCATCCCGAGGAGAAGGCTTAGCTGAGAGTCCTGGGGACTGGCGTGTGTGTACAACTCAGGGGACCTCCTCCTGGAATACAACCCCAGAGAACTTCTCCCACGTGTCCACGAGGGGATGTGCTCCAGACTATTCCTCCCAGCGGCACCGCTGGTCACTGGAAGCAGGCCAGGAGGATGGCTGGTGAGAGGTGGCAGAAGCCCACCCCGGAATATTAGCAGCGGTAAGAAGCACGGAGCTAGATGTGCACGTAGCAACAGGGATAGGTCTTGAACACGTAGTGTTGAGTGAAAAAAGTAAGACACAGTGGAACTCAGCACAATGCCCTTTCTGTAAATTAAAACCACATTCGCACACAAAACAGTACATATTTTATAGAGCTACACGCATTTGAGGGGTGTATAGCCACCGTTAGAGTGGGTCTTTGTCGTGGTTGGGGGAAGGCTGGGTGTGGTTTTTGGGGATAAAGGAGAAAAATAAAAATAAAGTCCAACCGCAGAGAGGCCTGGCGCAGGGAAGGACGGGTGTGCTGTTGCCTGAAGGGTGAGTTTCACTCAACTCCATCTGAGGCTTGCAAAACAGCACGGGCTTTGCAGTCAGACAACCCTAGGCTCAAATTCCAGGCCTCCGGTGTACTACCCCTGTGGCTGTGGACAAGGCTCTCTAGGCCTGTTCATCTGTAGAGTGGAGGGCTTGCTGCGGTCACAAGGACTGAATTAAGGGAGGTAAATGCAGGTAGGGCCTACAGGAGCATCAGCTCCTCCTGAACGCAGCTCCTGGAAGGGCCTGAGTACGCAGAGGGTTATCAGCTCCCTGAGGTCCTGAAGGGTCCAGACTGGAAAGCCCAGGAAGGGAACTCAGACCTGAAGCCTCTGGCTCCTAGCACATCTGGCAAGCCTGGACCAGCTGCCCTGGGGTGCCAGGTGTGGATGTCAGACTAGGCAAGTGTGCGGGCAAGCTGCCCGTTGAGGGCCTGGCACAGCTGCCCACCTCTGAGTGGCCAAACAACCTCATGCCCACCTCCATCAGTGACATCCACCATCTGTAAACCCTTTTGCACTCAGTTCACCAACAGCACATATTCACAGGCAACTGAAGGATTTGGTTTTAGGGAAACAGCTGTTCCTCCCCAACACAGGACTAAAGAGACTGGCCTCAAAGGCCATCCCCCTGTGCTGGAATGCACCTGTCCGGAGACCCTGCCTGGAGGTCTCCCAGGGCAGGGACGGCCCCGTGAGCATGACCAGCAAATCCTCTTCCTTGCAGACGACGATGAGCATGAGTGGATCATCCGGACGTGTCGGAAAGGCTGGGATGAGATTGTAGGTCACAGACCCAAGCTGTGAACCCTGGAGTTGCATCCACCAGAGGTATCCTGCATCGCTGGCACTGACTGACCCAGGGCACAGGCTGTAGTTCCAGAACCTGAGTTTGGAATCAGGAATAAAGGCTTTCTGCAATCAGTGGTCCCAACTGCACTTTCCTTAGGCTGTTTCTTGGAGTAGGGGTCCTCCTTCCACCTGCATCTAAATCACCTGTGCAAAATTGTGAATTAAATACCCCTGGACACACTCTTTAGACATGCTAATCAGTCTCAGAGAATGAGGTCTAGAGATTTGCATTCCCAGGTATTTGTTATGCAAATGAGCTTGAGAACCATCAAGCTTATAATAATAGATATCTGAGCAACTAATGTGTGCAGGCAAGTGCGTGTGTGTATTATCTCTGCACTCACAGCAGCCTTGTAAGAGTGGGCTCAGCATCACCTTTTACAGATGGGGAACCAGACTCAGAGAGACTGAGTGACTTATCTAGGTCACACAGCATTTGAATCCAAGTCCCTCTGAGGACAATGCCCAGCTGTTTAGTTTTATTTTTTACTATATGGAGTTGCCTTCCTTGCTGGTCTTTGTCTCACAGACAGTAGGGTGGGATGTGCCTGGACACACAGCTAGTATCTTCCTATAGGACCAGGAGTGATTAGTCAGGACTGCCTCTCCCTCCTGGCAGTTCTCCCATTTGAGCCTCATACCCTAAGCACAGAATCAGTGTGGAGCCATAGAAAGAGCATGACTTTGCATCACTGTTGATAAAATGAAGAGTTCCTATGGCCAGGATTCTCACCTGGCCCTGTTGGCTAGCTCACTGCACACCTGTGGGCAATATATGGCCGTTGACTCTATATAAAGAGCTCCACCCAGTGCTCTGGGCACAACACGGTGGCATGGCTGCAAGACTGCAGGAGAGCAGAGCAGAGGCTGGAGTGGTGGCAGCACTGAGAACAGAGGCCCAGAGGACAGCTGTGTGGGATGACTGTGCAGAGAGGCCCAGAGGCAGACACTGGCTTGCTGCGTGCAGACTCACTCTGAGTGAACGGGATTTTAGCGACTGGCCTGCCACCTGGAAATAAAGGTAGGTATGACCCTTTCACCCCAAGAATGTTTTGCTGTCAATTTCTCTGGTCACATTGAGTCCATAGTGAACTTGCCTGGGCTAAAACCCACTAGCAAGACAATCACACACACCTGGGTTCAAATCCCATCTCAACCACTGGTGGGATGTAACCTTGGGCAAGTCGCTTCACTTCTCTGAGCCTCAGATTCCTTATCTGTAAAATGGGTTTAATGGTGTTTAAAACAATAGGGTAGCTGTATGGATCAAATGATGTAATAGAAATACAGGAGCTGCACTTAGCAGGTACTCAGTATGTGCTTGCTTTAAGGAATAATTTGTTAGCTGTGCCTACAGAGTAATCATTCCCCAAAGTCACCCCCCAAGACTACATGTGTAAGCTGACAACCAGAAAAGGAAGCAGTGACATGTTCCAGGGCTACACTGGAGCCACAAGCATCCTGGATTTTTGCATAATTGTCCCTCCTTAGAGGCTGCTGGATGCTTAACCCTCTTATTTATCTCTGGCTCACAAAGCTGTCCAGGAGAAGTCAGGCCTGGGAGGGCTTTGCCAAGGTCGGCAGGGGCAGGACACCAGCCCTCAAACTGGGGACCCAGAGTTGGCAAGCTGAGGCAAACGGGGAGTCAGAGGGAGGTCTGGGCCCATTCAGCTGCACCACGGAGAGGTCCCAGGGGCCACCTCCCCACCCCTCGCCTCGGTAGAATGATGGGGTTGAGCAAATGGGGGGTTACCAAACTGTTTTGAAAACAGAAGGTACAGCCATGTAAAGAAACACACACGCAAAATTAAAACTGTTTTTCAAAGCTACACATATACCTATATCAACATCTGATCAAAGGATTGGTAGAGTAGAGTGGGAAGGGGCAGAGATGGGGGATGAAACAACTGAAAGAGAGGGGCCCTGCAGGGCCGCTGGCCATGCACACCCTGCACTGAGGTTCACTGCCAGGCCATGGGGGTGGCCTGCTGGGGATGCCTCAGCACTGCATGGGGCCACTTCACTCTTTTCCTCACCAGCTTTGGCTTGAACAGACAGTTCGGCAGCTGAAAGAAAATTTAGCAACCAGCAGAAAGGTGCTCTCTCACTCTCCTCAATTATATGGCGGCTCTGGAACCTCCAAGGCCAGTATGAAACCCAGGCTCGAGCAGAAGCTGGAGCCGTCTCCCTGCCACCCACTCCACGTTCCCTTTAATCCCCACAGCATGCTGGACGGATCCATCTGCTGCAGCATTTACCAGGCTGAGAGCTCCTGGAGTGCAGAGTTATCAGCTGGGCCCTTCCCTGAGCCTGCAGAGCCAGACAGGGCCCCGCAGACAGCAGAGGACAGCAGCCTGCCTGATTCCCTGGGAAGCAGTACCAATTTTCCAGGAAGGGACATGGCACTGTCTAGCATCTTGGATGCTCTGGGTGCGCCCGATCCCTTAACCAGAGAGCAGGAAAGAAATGGAATCCCATCGAGTTCTGGATTTAAGTGCCAGCACTTCCACTTGCATTAACTTTATTTATTACACAAATAGGACATTTACAAAGCACAACATGAAAGGTATGTAACAAAACAGACATTGGTTTTACAAAAAAGTGCTTACAATTTTTTTTTCCATGTGTGTTTTCCCCTTTTGTATTTAAATAAATAGTCATGATGGCCTGTGCTTTCCCAGGCTGCTCTAACAGGCTAGTGGAGACATGTCTGAACTGCAACATGCTATGACCACATGATCCACGCAAGGAACAGACCCCAGGCAGGGGAGATTCAAGGCAGAGTGGGTACTGGGTGGCCCTGGGTAGAGTTCAGCTGGCCATTTTACCACATGGTTGTGCTTGAGGCTCCAATCAACAGGAGCAAAATGAAAGAAAAGATTAGAGCTCCCAATCACCAGGGATCAGGCCCAAGCACCGGAAGAGGGCCGGTGCACCTTATTCACTGGATGAGTTCTGAACCGAGCTGCACTCACCATGTTTGGAGTGGTGCCTTCTCTTTGCCCTGAGTCAGCTGGAACCATTTTTGGAAGGGACAGTGAGCAGTTTCCTTTCTTGTGCTGCTCCTGTGCCTAGCCCTCCTCCAGGTCCCAGAACAAGAATGGCAGATAGATTTTCATTTTAAGTGCCAACTTCAAGCATTGGGATTCTGAAACCTTATTCAGACTCAGTGAGATAGAGAGTGCTACAATCAACTAGTGATGCCTACCATGGGTATAAGAAGGGGCAGCAGATACATATGTACCATGAACTTGCTTCCCAGGCCTAGAGTCTCCTTCCAAAAGCAACATATCAGGTTAACAGAAGCTGGAAGGAGGACTTGGGCTAAACATGCCTACGAGCAGCCTCTAGTGGGAAATTCATCAGGACACCAAGTAACTCTAAAATTACAGGATAAGCTTGGGACAAATGGGTGTCCCCTGAAAACATAAATCATGGTCTTGTATAGCCCGAGCCCTTTTGTTTGGGGTGAAGAGTTGCAGCAGGATAGGGTGGATGTGAGCACAGCTGTGTCTGGCCCTCATTCTCAGGAGTGGGTGGGGCTGGCTCTGGGCAGGGCTGGTGGGGAAGCCCAGAAGTCCCAGCTGGAATCCTGGGCATGGCACACTCACCTAGGCAGTGGGCACTCTCTCTATGCAGAGATGGGTCCTGAATGAAAAATCTGACTGCCACTTCCCTGGGCTCGGTTCCCCAGCTGCCCATGCGTGGTCCACACCAAAGAGGACAGGGCCCAAGCACCCCATCAGGAGTCAATAAGCAGAAAATTGAGATCTCCCAATTCCACATGCCCAAACATTCAGAAATGTCACCACACAGATCAAACTTCATCTCTGCTATGTCTCCTGTATATGTGCTGGATAGGTAGGCATAGGGAGTCCCTCAACATACCAAGTTTTCTCTTTCCTCTCCTTAAAATGGCAAATGCCTCTCCCAATTCAAAGTGCCACGTTCTTCTCCTTGATCTCCAAACCAAAGGGGGTCTTTGTCCTCCCCCACAGCCCCTGCCCATCCCTCTACCTCTTGGTCTGGGCAGGCCTCCATCTCTGCCCTATTGGGCCTCTCAGAGTTGGTCAGCGTCTCTCTCTGAATTAACATGACATAGCCAGACAGATGGAAATGATAAAATTAGAACATAGCTTTCCTTTGGGGACATCCCACAAACACTGTAGAGTTTTCCAGACAAAAGCAACAGAGTGGATAACATTGGGGGTTGTCAGCTATTCAGAATTCAGAGATGGTTCAGGAAGTAGTAAATAAAGGCCAATATGGGAGGACAGAAAACCTGTAAATTAGAAGGCTGTTGGCGTCGCACCAATTCAATTTGGCCTTTTGCTATTGTAATTGGCTTAAGTCGAAGATGACTCCTGTTTAAACGGAAAAACGGGCTGTTGTTTTCGCCCTGATTCCAAATTTCAGGGAGCTCTGCCTTCCAAGAGGAGCACTACATGGTGCTCCTGGTGGGTTCTGGTTCTCTGCAGGAGGGGGGACAGCCAGGCCCAGGGACCCAGCTGGTGGTGGCAGGTAGGATGGCAGACGAGGGGCAGATGCAGAGCAGATGGGTCCCTGGCAACAGCTCGGACACTGGATGTCAGCGGCTGAGGGGCAGCTGGGGGGTGCCCATGGACAGATGCGGAAGTGATGGCAGCGTTAATACTGGAAAAGGATGACCTGCAAGAGGAAAGCGGGGAGGTGGCTGAGTGGGGGCCTGCCCCACCCGGCAGCCCCCCAGAGGTCCTCAAAGGCATGGAGAATGAGGGTGGCTCAGGGCCCAGATCTGGGTTCAAATCCTGGCTCTGTCACTTACTTGCTGTGAGACCTGGGGCAACTCACTTCACCTCTCTGAGCCTGTTTCCTCATCTGTAAAATGGGGATGACAAAACCTCTCTCTCAGAATGGGGAATATTCAGTGAAAGCCCACATGCACGATTTCATGGAAGCCTCACCTCAACCCCACAAGGGCCCACCATCATCTCCACCTCACAGGGTTGGGCTCACAGAGGAAAATCAGTGGCTGAAATCACACATCCAGGAAGAGGTGCCCCCAGCACGTGGGCCTGGCCCCTGGGCAAACTCTCCTCATTGTTAACACATTGCCTCTGCCTCTTCAAGGCCACTGTGACAGTAGTCCTCGATGCTTACTACACACCAGGTAATGGGCACTTACACCTCACAAAACCCAGAGGCACATGGCCCGGACAGACCAGGAGCCTGCACACAGTGGGTGAGCCGTAAGGGACTATACGCCCCTTTCCCCCTCCCTCTTCCACCTGAAGCACCTGGCTGGCTGCTCATGGCTCCCGACACAGCTAGTTCCCTGAAGCTCAGGTCAGGGATTACTATGGCTGGGCAACGGGATGTGACTTCATAACAAATGTCAGGAGATGTCAAGTGGCCCAGAGACATCAACTGGCCATGGCCATAGGACCCGTCCATTTTATGATCAGGAATGTTAGTTGCCCAGATTGGGTCCCATGAGGAGGAGATGGAGGAGCCAATGGTGGTGATGTCCATAGGAGTAATCATAACCATAACCAACATCTGCGGAGCACTTCCTGTGTCCCCAGCACTGTGCTAGGGTGTTTACATACATTATCACTTGTACTCCCAGCAACGACCTTAGGTGGTGGAACTATTATTGTCCCCACTTTGTGGGTGCAGGAATCGAGGCCCAGAGAGGCTCACTGTATTCCCAGGTCTCACAGTGAGAAGGGGACAGGGTGGGGATGCACAGTCTGCCTCACTCCAGTTCATGCTGCACCCTTGGGCAATGCTCCTCTGGCCTCTGCGATGTCTGGTTTGGGGCTCTTACTAAGAGAAACTCTCTCAAGAGGGATGACTCTGGTAAGACCCTTCCCCTGTGGGCCTCAGTGACAGCTTGGCCCTGATTTCTCAGAAGACTTCCAAGCTCTGAAATTGTGGAGGCAGGGGATGTGACCAGTGAGAAATGTGGTTCTGGAAACTTCCAGGCCTGTGTGGCCAAATGATCATGTGGCAGAGGCAGAGGGTGCTAGCCACGAATGCCCAGAGCGCTGGTCTTGATGGGTGGGTTCAGGGGCCTGCCCCAGGCGGCACTGAGCCTCTGCATAGCTGGGTTACCGGAGCCTGGAGGAGCTTGGCAGAAAGCCCATACAGTCTTGCACCGACCATACACAGCCCACCAGGCCTGATAGCTTTGGCAAGACGTGGACAGAGAAGGTCCCCAGAAAGGAGCTGGCAGGAAGGCCTGGCAGTAAGAAGGCAGAAGGCCATGAAGGAGTGAGGAGACATGTCTCTGCAGAGCTGCTGGATGTGAAATTGGGGACGTGGCCCAGCAAGAAAAAACTCTGGCTCAGAAGCCAAACCCAGGAAACCTACAGCCAAAGCTGCCAGACCCCAGACTGGCTCACCCTTCAGACTGAAGCAGACATAACCACAAGTTTAGCTGAACACCCAAGAGACAAGGGCTTGTCTCCAGGCGCTGAGCCCAGCCCTAAGCACTTCCACGCACTACCCCTCCACCACCCTCCATATGATTCCCAAGCCCCTGGCTCAAAGGTCCAGGCCTTTCATTACACGACCACTGTCAGCGTCCCTCACCTCCCTTGGGCCTCACCCATGGTCCTTCACACCCAGGCTCCTCCATGCCTCTGTGCTCTTCCCTCCACAAGGAATGCCCTTCTTCTCATCCCTCTTCTCCATGAGAGCTCGTACTCTCTCTTCTGGGTCCCTGAAGGCCACATTCACTCCTCACTTCAACTTCCCCATCACCCTGTGGTGGAGCCGCCGCCTCCTGCTCTAAGCTCCATGCGCCTGCAGGACAGGGACCATACCAAGCTCGCCTCTGCAGTCCCTGTGCGGGGTCTGACAGGACGAATGCTCTCCCCCCAGAGAGTGCAGCTCCAGGGCAGGAAGCCCTAGGACTGAGGCCAGCCGTCTGCACACTCACTCTGTGAGCCCAGGTCAGGGACTGCTCACCTGAGCCCCAGTTTCTGCAGGTACGAAATAGAGCAATCATAATCCCCCTTCCCAGGGAAGATGTGAGGGGTGAGGTCAGAGAGAGCACCGTGTAAACTGTGAAGTGCTGCACAAAAGGCCATGATCACAGACCTGTCTGGACATCAGAGGCTGACAGCCATGCAGCATCCTGGACAAGCGTGACCCCTCTCTGAGCCTCGGCTTCCTTATCTTTACCATGAGGACGGCCACTCCCACACCTACAAAGTGGCTGGAAGGCATCGATCAGACAAGGAGGGTAAAGTGCCTGCTGTGAACAGTGGAGTTGCTCAGACAACAGCAGCTTTTACTGTGAGAATGACAATCTCAGAGGGGACTTTCTGGGCCATGCTCAGCCGCCACTGGGATTGGTGGGATTTTGCATTGAGTGCTACCATTTACTTAAACATGTACCTGTCCAATGGGGCTGTCCACACTATATACCTTCCCCCATGGTGCTCAGAACAGAGCCTAGCACACAGTAGGTGCTCAATCAAGAGGCAGAATAAGAGGGGCTTTCCTAGAGGAGTGGCCCCACTCGAGTGCCCATGAGAATCACATGGCTGGGAAGTACACTCCCAGGTCCCCACAACACATCTCCCTGGCAGACTCTAGGGGCGAGGCTAGGGAATCAGCATCTCTACAAGTTTCCCAGGTGCTTCTGGGACACATTAATACTGAATTCTGCTGGATTAGAGGGGCCCTTCCAGCTGGAAGGCCCTGGCCCCCTCTCCCTGGCCCAGCACACCTGCTGACTCCTGGGGCTCCCTGCATCTCTGAGAACTGCAACAGTGGTATTTCTAAAAGAGGCCTCCATTCAATAGAACTGGAAAATATAAAATAAAAGAGTTCTCCAGGCCCCCCACCACCTCAAGGCAAAGTCCATACTCCTCCTCCTGGCAGCCCCAAGGTCTCACCCTACCCTGCTGCCCCGCCACACCCTGCACTGTTCTTCCCAAGCCTCCAAGCCTGCGTGCCAGCATCACTGAATTGTTCAGGGTTCCCTAGAGCTGCGGTGGCTCCTGCCTTCCTCACAGGTGCTGATTCAGCATCCAGGCCTGTGCTCAGACGATGCCTTCCTCCAGGAAGTCTCTTCATACTTCTCCTGAGCTGCTGCACCCCCCACTCCCAGTTCCCTTGGCTGCCCATCACAGTTTGATCACACTGTGTTGTAACTGTTCGGGTGTGTCTCCCCCTCCAGATAGCGGCCTCCTCAGGCCAAGAACCATGCTTTCCTTATCGCTGTGCTCCTGGCAATTGACTCGGGGCCGAGGGACACAGTCAGGACATAGCAAATGTCAGCCGAGTAAGTGAATGAACAAATGCACAGGTTCTCTACAAGCTCTGAGACCTGGAGCTGCCTGTGCCTCAGTTTCTCCCCTTCTAAAATGAGGTGTTGACCTAGGGTTGTGGCTCTCAAGGCTAACTGAGAGATGTCACGGAGCTGAAAGGGAGGTGGGGGCCCTAGTCCCTCTGCACTTTCCCCCAGAGCAGCTCCATCATCATTCATCTGCATTATGGGTTATGGAAAAAAATAGAGAAAGGGTTCCAGTGCTTAAAAACAAAGCATTCAAGTGCTAGACTGGGTGAAGTCAAAGCATGTTCAGTTCTAATGCTTGAGGATTCCACAAAGGAGGCCCTGCCAGTTGGCCAAGGTCACCTGCTGACCTGCTATCCCAGAGCCTCACCAGCTCAGCATATTCACTCCCAACAGCCAGGAATAAAAGGAGGATGTGGGAGGAACCAGTGAGACAGCAGAAGGCAGGGTGTGTGATATAAGCCTTCCCTGGCATGGCACAGTTTGAGCAAAGTGACTAAATTCACAAATTGAAAAAGAGAAGGCCACTCGTTGGTAGGGGGCTGCAAAGAGGCCTTTGGAGTGGCCAGGCACATAGAATGCACTGGCTCAAGTGACTCCTTGGGGGCACAATGAGGGCCTGTGTATGCTGAACAGAGAGGGTCTGCCACACAGGGACATGAGACCCACTCAGTGACAAGGAATGCTGCCAGGACCCCATCCCTGGCAGATGGTTCTGACCTGCCACACCCAATCCGCCTCCATTTACCTTCTCACCCCGGTTGGAGAGTGGCCCATCCATATCGGCTTTGAGGTGGACGGGGGGCGCGGTGTAAGGCAGCCGGCAGTGCACCTGCCCGCACTGTACCTGACCTGTGGACAAGAGTTTGCCTTGGAGCCCATCCCCCAGACTGCATGCAGGATCCCACAGGCCCCATGCTCCATAGGCTGGAGCCCCAGGACCACTTTCACATCTGCCACCTAAAGGCTGAGTGGCTTTGATCGAATTTCAATAGGGTTGGTTGCAATGCTCTGTGCAAAAATACTTATAGTCTATAAGGTGTCATATGGTAACTGTCCAGATTACTGATAAATAAATGTTCATAAATGAATATGTACTGACCATCTCCTACATGCAAGGCTGTACCCCATCTATCAGGATCCTCCCTCAGTGCCTTGTACTTTCTGATCTCCCAGGTTATCACCAAGGCTTTACCCAGTACCTCCTAGAGGATCTGCACTCATGTCCCCGTCTTCACAGTGCTCTCCCTGACCACTCTATTTCAAATTGCAGCCAACACCAGAACCCTACCCCCACCCTCCCTGTCCTCCTTCCCAGTTTTATTTTTCCTCCTTAGCACTTACCATCATCTGACTTACTGTATACTTTCTTTTATTTGATATTATCTGTCTCTGCCAACTAGAATGCAATCTCCAATTTGGGCAGGAATTTTTGTCTGTTTCCTAGATTCTAATCTTTTTGGATTTCTAGTACCTCGAACAAGGCATGGCATCTCGTAGGTACTCTTTAAATATTTGTTGAATGGATCTCTGTACCCTATTCCAAAACTGTGGGGAAAGTCCATTCTTATATCTGACCCAATTCTCATGCTTTATCCTCTTACCACTCCCGTGGAGAACTCCTCTCTCTCCCCTGTACATCATCCTCTTTAGTCACAGGGGAAAAAGCCCTGTACAAAGACTTACCATTAATATGCAACTTGGGACAAGTCATTGTCTTTCTGAGCTACAGTTCCCTCATCTGTAGAATAAAGTGGTTAAGGTTGGGAATTCTTCACCTGGGATGTTCTAGGAGTCCACGGATAGCCTGAGATTACATGGCAAACCATGTGTGTCTGTGCATTTTTCTGGGGTCTGGTTTCAAGCTCTAAAGATTCAGGAAACTCAAGGGTCCTCTGACTTTAGTCAACTGCAAAACAAACTGCTGAGCTGGCCTTCAGTTAGTTGTGCAGCAAAAGGCAGCAAGTCCAAATAACCTTAACATCTCTTGCCCCAAGCTGGGTTCCACTCAAGAGGAAGAGGAAAAGGCACCTCAACTCCTTTCTAGGCAACAAAGACAGATCAGGCTTGGTCAACAGAGTAGGTGGGAAGAGTCCTGGCAGGACTCTGAAGGCCATGGCCCCACTCCCAAGGGGGTCACCTAGAGCCCTTAGCAACTCCACATCAAGAGCCTGCTGGTAGCTCAGACTCCTCGTGGCCAGAGTGCCTTCATCCTTGGTGCCTCTAACATGAACTAGCTGTTCCACAGGATCTGTGCAGCCTGAACATAAGTAATTGTTTAGAAAAGAAAGAGAAAAAAGTCCCTCCTACTGAGCAGATGGTTCAGAAACAGAACAGTACAAAGAGACACAGTTTCCCACTGGCAGCCTGGGATGGTGGGCAGGACTCCCTGCTGGGCTGACCAGAACCACCAGCACAAGAGTGGCTAATACTACCCAGCACTTACTAATGCTGGAGACTTCAAGTCCACAACCTCATCTGCTGCTCATGACACTGCTTTGAGATAAGATTTTCTTACTGTCCTCATTTTTACAGATGAGGAGACTGGTAGTCAGGGAAGCTAAGAGGCTTGCCCAATGTCACACAGCTAGTAAGTGGCAGGAACGGGATCTGAAGCCCAACAGTGTGACACCAAAGCCCACACTCATTTGTTAAGGAAAACTGGCTCCCACTAACATACTGTGGACTCTTGGTTTCCTCACCTGTACAATGGGATCTTGATCTCTGAGGTTTAGAAACATGGTTAGTAAAATGTCTGGCATGTTGCAGGGACTCAAAAACAGCAGTGCTCTCCCTAACCTCCCTTCTCTTTCTCTTTCACTTGGAGCCAGAGAAGGAAAGATTTGTGTTTGTGGGTATGTTATGACCACTTCTATTTTTCTGGTCACACCCAGCTTTAGGAAACAATCAATGGAAACAATCTCAAAGGGGAAAGGAAATCTGTGATAATCATCTATTCAGTGGCAGATTCGCTGAATGTTCATCCCCCAGAAATCTACAAGGCTCTGCCTTCTCTCCTCCAGGTTCCTGCTCAAAGGTCACTCCACCAAGACCCCGCTGGCATACTTCCCTCTCTCCTCTAGTAGTTTATCGTCTCTCCACCCACGTCCCACACTGGAATGTGAGCCCCAGGAGCACAAAGCCTTTGGTCTATTGTGTTCTCCATTTGTATCCAAGTGCTGAAGACACACAGGAGGCACTCAAAAATTATTTACTGAATACATGAGTGGATTCTCACAACCCTGTGAGGTAGGTATTATTAAGATCCCAGACAGGGGAGGAAACTGGGATTCAAGGAAGTTAGTTGATTTGCCCATGGCCTTACAGCCCTGGGGACACCTGCCATATCTATCTGCCATTTTCTGCAACCCGAACACACCCATGCCACAATACTTTCTGGGCTAAGGCCTGCCTACATTCAGTTCGTCTGCTGCTGCGCACTTGTCTACCCACTCCTTGTGTCTCCTATCCGTCCTCCCAGGCTCAGCTTGCTGGGAGAGGACATCTCCAGGCACTCCCACAGGGCACCTTTCTTAAAGCATAGCAATTAAAACCACATGCTCATTTATCTGATTGTTGTTCCAAGTTGTGCCTCCAACCAGAATGCTGGCTCCACCAGGGCAACAACTTTAGCCACCTTGTTCTTTCGTAGTCGCCAGGGGCCCTGGTACAGAGTGGGTGCTTGGAAAATATTTTTTGAATAGCTGAATGGCTTGAGTCTACTAAGAGTCCCGCCTCCGCTGAGGCAGAGACGGGGAACTTAACCCCTCTCCCCAGCCCTAAGCCCGAGGGACCACTTACTCTCAATGTAGCCGTGCAGAGTGACCATACGCGCCCGCTCGGGGCTGCTGAACGGGGAGTAGTGGATGTCGTCGGACAGGGCGGAAGGGAGGCGGGACGGCGGCGCCCCGGAGGGCGGCACGGGATGTTGCGGTGTGTGCTTTTTATGTCGCGCCCGGCAGTTTTGAAACCACACCTGGAACGACAGCTTCAGCAGCTTCAGCCTCGCGCAGAAGATCGGACGCGCCGCCGGGGTACCCCAAGCGCGACTGCCTCGTAGCCGCCGGGAGAAGGGACGCCACGTGCGCCCGGACCAGCAGCTCTGCAGCCGGCTGCTCAGTCTAGGGCCCGCCCCCAGACCCCCGGGCCCCGCCCCAGACCAGAAGGCCCCGCCCTCCCGCGGCCCCACCTGGATGACCCTCCGGCTGAGGCCCGTCATGTCCGCAAGCTTCTGCAGCGTCTGCGCGTCGGGGTTGTTGTCCTGCGCGAATTGCGCCTGCATAACCTGCCGGGCGCCGCAGGGCGGTGAAGCAGGGGCGCGCGGGTCTCCGAGGTCCCGGCCCAATCAGAGGCTCCGGTCCGGAAACCACGCCCCAAGCGGCTACAGCCCCGCCCGGCCCCCCGCGGGTCCGGGCGAGGGGGCAGGGCCAGAAGGCCCTCTAGGCCACGCCCACTCCTAGGCCACGCCCAAACCCGGCCTTTCGCGGCCTGCCCGGGTACCTGCAACTGCTCTGCGGTGAAGGACGTCCGCGCGCGCTTGGCCGGCTTGGGCTGACTGTCCTGTTCGGAGGGCACTGCACCCTCTAGCGTGAGGCCGTTCCCTGGGGGCGACAGAAGTGGCTGACCACGCATCCCCATCTCTTCTAGTAGCATCCTGGAAAGGTTGGGGGTGGGGGGAGCTGGTCCCTGTAAGGGTCAGGAACGGAGCTGGCTGGGAGCAGGGATCCCAGGGTCCTAGTCCCTGAGCTGGGTCTTTGGGGAAGGGGCTTTCACTTTAGAGCATCTGCTTGTACCAGATGCTCCTCTTTCGGTATGTCCTTAATGTCTCAGAGCCCAAAGAACACGCCACATTATCCTCGTTTTATAGGAGGAAACTGAGGCTCAGAGAGAAGCCCCTGCACTTAGTAGTCTGACAGCTGGCTAACTAGCGCCCCAAATTGAGCTCCCTCCTGGCTAAACTGGGGAAATCAAAGGCTGGTGGGCATAGGGTGCAAGCAGGTGATTACGGAAGTGATCCTCATTTTGTAAAAACAATGGAAACATAAAGGTTGGGAGGATGTTACACCAAGGTGTTAGCAGTGGTTACTTCCAAGGAATGTGATTATGGGGGCTCTACTTTCAATATTTCTGTAACTTTTGAGGCTTTTACAACAATCACATGTCACCTTATTTCTCCAAAGTTTAATTTTGTTAGCTGGAGTATATGTTAGCTACTCTCTTTCCACTTATATTACTTTTACAATTACACTAAATATGTTCCCATTTTATTCTTTAATATCTCGTTTATCTAAATACAAAAGTAATACATGCTCCTTATCAAAAACTCAGAATATTCAGATAAGCACAAAGAAGAAAATAAAATCACTCATAATTCCACCGCTATTCACAATGTGTTGATTTTTCTTTAATTAGAAAATAAAGTTGAGGGGAAAAAAAACACTCCAAAGTACAGAAAAAATCTGCTAAGATATATACACTAAAATATGAGAGGTGGCGGCCTTTAGGGTTATCTTTATTTTCTTCTTTTTGCTTAACCATCTTTGCTTAATTTTCATAAGGGATGTGTGTTTTTAAGTTTAGAAAGTAAAACAGTAGTCAAAACTTAGGGCTGGTCAGTAAAGGAGATATGAAGCCCCAAGCCTTCAAGGTTCCCTGCATGATAGGAGTCTGGGGTCAGGCCTGGCTCTGAGAGCTGGAGTGTAAATGTCAAGGCTGTGGCTGGGGGTGGTCCTGATTAGTCCTGGTGCAGAAGGAGCCTGGGGTCACTGATGAGCCATGGGTAAAGGGAAGCTCTGATTCCTGGGATTCCATCCCAGCTCCACTGCTGGCTCACCCACCACTACAGTTAACTAACTAGCACCCTAGCTTCACTTGCTCCCCACCTAGGCCCGCTTAGCCCCCACCCTAGCAGGAAAAAGTGATGGCCTTGGTATGGCCATGGCCAGGAACACCGTGGAGATTCCTGACTAGTCTCCAGGCTGGAAATGAGGCACGGTGGTTCATACATCCTGTCCAGAATGAGACAGACACCTTGTGTATTAATGTCCCCTGGGAGAGCTGGCAGGACAAGGATTTGTGCCTTTTTTTTTTCAATGGGAAATGAAACTCTCGTATAGGCAGGCAGCCACATCCAAGCAGCCTCCCCTGCTTAGTGAGGTCTGATTAAGAGGCCCTGGAACTAGGGAATGGGGTGGTATGGTATCATGGTTAAGAGCCTGGGTTTTGGAGTCAGACAGACCTACTAGTATGTAACCTTTGGCAAGTCACATACTGCAAATAACTGCCTGCTTCCTCACCTGTAAAATGGGGATACACCAGCTACTTCCTAGGGCTCTTCTAAGGATTACATAAAACAATCTACCCTACGGAGAAGTTAGCTTCCACAGACCCAAAAAGGGGAATTACAGAAAGGATCCCTGCGGCTTCCCACATTCCAGCCTCCACGCCCCCTTCCAGCCCCCAACCCACCTGTGACTTGGCCCTCACAATCCCTGGAAGACCTGGACCCTGTCCCTGGGCCTCTGTGTCTTGGGGAATCACAGTATCAGAGCCAGAAGAGATTTAGGGACCATTTTAGTCCACCATCCGTCTTGCACAGATAGGGAGAGTGAGGCCCAAAGAAGAAAGGAAACTTCCTATGTCCCCACACATGCCAGAAGGAAAACTGGAGCTCAGGTCTCCAGACTCAAATGCCTTTCTCCCTGCAGGCCAGGATGAAACCCCCAACCCCAAACCTTTGGCTTGGAGCTGCTGTGATGGGAGTTGGGAGAATAGGGTCCTGTCATCTCTTCAGGATTGGCCCATGCTTGGTTCCAGGCAGCTACAGTGGATGGGCCCTCAGGCCAACCAGAGCAGTCTGAAGGGGGGGCGGGCTACCCCAGTATGAGAAGCATCTCTAGAGCTCACTGAGTGCCTCCTGGCCTTATAACACATGGACTCATCTATCTTTGAGAAGGTGTCCTATCACAGCTCCATCTTACAGGTATAGCTGCAGAGAGGGGCAGTGACTTCTGACTCCCAAGCCACTGGTGGAGCCAGAAGTGCGTGCTCTGTGCACAGCCCCCACTGCTCTGCGTCCAGATGATAAAGGCAACACCTATCCCTTCCTGGAGTGCTGGGTTTGTGGTGGCAGGGGATGGGGGTCTGGTGGGTGGACGTGGGAGAGGGCTGGGGGCAGAGGTATGGCAAGTTGCGGGGTGGGGTGGTTGGGTACCGTTCTCGGCGGCCCGCTTGAGGTTCTCAATCATGGTGTCGTAGTGGATGCGGCAAAGCACCTTCTCTTCCACCAAGCCAAACTCCTCACCCGTGGACAGCTGGCGTTTACATGAAAAGCAGGCGAAACAGGCCAGATGGTAGGCGTTGCCGCGTGCCCGCCGCACCCAGTCACTGGCGTAGATCTGCCGGCCACACCGCGCACACTTGGTCCCAAATCGGCTGTGGGACATCACGACAAAAAGGGGGTGGCGAGGTTCAGACAGGCCACTCCTCCCCTCCAAATCCCAGTGGCCAGCCAGTGCCCAGGCTCCTGGCCTCAGGACTTTTCCTAGCCCACGAATTTCCCATCGCCTGGATCCACCCACTCTCACCTCCCTGCAGACAAGTCCCACCTAGAAGGTGAGCTGGTGGGTGGTTTTTATTTAATTCTGGGTGCTTTTCTGAGTTTTTCTAATTTTCTACAATGATCACTTACATTTGTAAATAACATTAATCTGCTCATTAAAATATATTGTGTTAGGGAAAATACAATAATAGTAACAATACTAGGTGAATTTTTTAGCACTTAACCACGTGCGCAGCTAGATTCTAAATGTTTTATATTTATTCATTTTGGAGATGTGGAAAATGGAGACCAAAGAGGTAAAGAAATTTGCACAAGGTCACACAGCTTGCAAGGACAGAAACCGGGATGAATGAACTGTACCCCAGCTGTAGAGAAGCTCCAAGTTTCTTGGAAGTAAAGACAGATATGAACTCACTGGCTTTGTGCCCCTGAGCAAACTGTTTAGCCCCTCTGAGTTCTCAGTTTCCTCACCCTGAGCTGAATGAGATGACAACAGGAATGACCACTCTTATTTGCTTAAAACGTGCTTTGCAGTCTCTTAAGTATCTACTAGTCTCAGACTCTGGAGCTCCGTGAAATTCTGAAAGTCAATCTAAAAAAGATTTTTTAAAAGCCCCCTCTCTATAAACCCTCCTAGATTCTGCTGCTTCCCCCTCTCCCTCCCACATTATAGTCCAGCCCTTTGCATGTGGCTGCCTTCTCCACCAGCCTGGGAGCCCGTCCAGGAAGCTGCAGTCTCGTTTGCCTGTCCCAGAAGTCAGCCCAAGGCCTTACCCCTGAGCACCAGGGAAGGTTTGTTCTTTAAGTGGATGTTCTTTAAGACACTCACCCAGTGACCCTGTCCCAACCCTCTGAGACTCAGTTTCCTCTGGTGCACAGTCTGTTTCAGAGAACGGTGCGACCACTCATCTAGGCCCCCAGACTGAGAAACCTAAAGCTACACCCCTCACTCTCCTCAACCCTGCGTCCAGCCAACCATCAGGTGCTGTTGGCTCCTAAGTAGCTCTGGGACCCCGTGTGCCCCTCTCCATTGCCACTGCTGCCCATCTTGTCCACGCTCCCCTCCTGCACCCCTCACTGCCAGTCTCTGACCTGGCCTCTCTCCAGTGCCACCCCTGCCAACTGATTCTCCATATAGTGACCGCAGCACAGCTTCCCACATGCATGATGAATCCTGTCCTGCTCTGCTGAGAATCCTTTGGTGTCTCCAATTTACCCTCAGGATCTGGTCCAAATCCTTAGAGTTTACACGGCCCAGCAGACCGTATCATCTCAGGCTCATCTGCCCCTAATCATCCTCAAGATCCCCCACCACACATCCACAGGTAAGTCCCAGTTAGCCACAAAGGTCCATCCCAGGTCTTTATGGCCCCCTTGGGAGAACTTTCCAGTCCCGGCCTTTGCACAGGCTATTCACTCCTCCTACACGCCCTCCCTCTCTGCAGCAATCACACCGGTGTGTAAATGCCAGATCCCCTGCTCTCCCTTCCACCCCTGGCACTCCTGGGAGAGGGCCCAGCAGATTCGCCTCTGTGTCCCTAGGGCCTGCACACTTCCACCCAAAGGAACATTCAGAAATGCCTGTGTGTTGAGGAACCAACCCAGCAAATTCTCTCTGATCACAGCCTCGCCTGCCTTGGCAACTGTCAGTTGAATAAACGGTCTTGGGTTGCACTGAGTGCGGGAGCGCTGAGCCCCAGGCCAGTCCAGGCTCCCACAAGTCACTGTCTCGGACCAGGAGCTCAAGGGGACACAGTCGCTGGCGGCGAGGTTGGCCCAGGCCAGGTTATGCGCTGAGGCCCTGGAACTAGGGAATGGGGTGGTATGGTATCATGGTTAAGAGCCTGGGTTTTGGAGTCAGACAGACCTACTAGTATGTAACCTTTGGCAAGTCACATACTGCAAATAACTGCCTGCTTCCTCACCTGTAAAATGGGGATACACCAGCTACTTCCTAGGGCTCTTCTAAGGATTACATAAAACAATCTACCCTACGGAGAAGTTAGCTTCCACAGACCCAAAAAGGGGAATTACAGAAAGGATCCCTGCGGCTTCCCACATTCCAGCCTCCACGCCCCCTTCCAGCCCCCAACCCACCTGTGACTTGGCCCTCACAATCCCTGGAAGACCTGGACCCTGTCCCTGGGCCTCTGTGTCTTGGGGAATCACAGTATCAGAGCCAGAAGAGATTTAGGGACCATTTTAGTCCACCATCCGTCTTGCACAGATAGGGAGAGTGAGGCCCAAAGAAGAAAGGAAACTTCCTATGTCCCCACACATGCCAGAAGGAAAACTGGAGCTCAGGTCTCCAGACTCAAATGCCTTTCTCCCTGCAGGCCAGGATGAAACCCCCAACCCCAAACCTTTGGCTTGGAGCTGCTGTGATGGGAGTTGGGAGAATAGGGTCCTGTCATCTCTTCAGGATTGGCCCATGCTTGGTTCCAGGCAGCTACAGTGGATGGGCCCTCAGGCCAACCAGAGCAGTCTGAAGGGGGGGCGGGCTACCCCAGTATGAGAAGCATCTCTAGAGCTCACTGAGTGCCTCCTGGCCTTATAACACATGGACTCATCTATCTTTGAGAAGGTGTCCTATCACAGCTCCATCTTACAGGTATAGCTGCAGAGAGGGGCAGTGACTTCTGACTCCCAAGCCACTGGTGGAGCCAGAAGTGCGTGCTCTGTGCACAGCCCCCACTGCTCTGCGTCCAGATGATAAAGGCAACACCTATCCCTTCCTGGAGTGCTGGGTTTGTGGTGGCAGGGGATGGGGGTCTGGTGGGTGGACGTGGGAGAGGGCTGGGGGCAGAGGTATGGCAAGTTGCGGGGTGGGGTGGTTGGGTACCGTTCTCGGCGGCCCGCTTGAGGTTCTCAATCATGGTGTCGTAGTGGATGCGGCAAAGCACCTTCTCTTCCACCAAGCCAAACTCCTCACCCGTGGACAGCTGGCGTTTACATGAAAAGCAGGCGAAACAGGCCAGATGGTAGGCGTTGCCGCGTGCCCGCCGCACCCAGTCACTGGCGTAGATCTGCCGGCCACACCGCGCACACTTGGTCCCAAATCGGCTGTGGGACATCACGACAAAAAGGGGGTGGCGAGGTTCAGACAGGCCACTCCTCCCCTCCAAATCCCAGTGGCCAGCCAGTGCCCAGGCTCCTGGCCTCAGGACTTTTCCTAGCCCACGAATTTCCCATCGCCTGGATCCACCCACTCTCACCTCCCTGCAGACAAGTCCCACCTAGAAGGTGAGCTGGTGGGTGGTTTTTATTTAATTCTGGGTGCTTTTCTGAGTTTTTCTAATTTTCTACAATGATCACTTACATTTGTAAATAACATTAATCTGCTCATTAAAATATATTGTGTTAGGGAAAATACAATAATAGTAACAATACTAGGTGAATTTTTTAGCACTTAACCACGTGCGCAGCTAGATTCTAAATGTTTTATATTTATTCATTTTGGAGATGTGGAAAATGGAGACCAAAGAGGTAAAGAAATTTGCACAAGGTCACACAGCTTGCAAGGACAGAAACCGGGATGAATGAACTGTACCCCAGCTGTAGAGAAGCTCCAAGTTTCTTGGAAGTAAAGACAGATATGAACTCACTGGCTTTGTGCCCCTGAGCAAACTGTTTAGCCCCTCTGAGTTCTCAGTTTCCTCACCCTGAGCTGAATGAGATGACAACAGGAATGACCACTCTTATTTGCTTAAAACGTGCTTTGCAGTCTCTTAAGTATCTACTAGTCTCAGACTCTGGAGCTCCGTGAAATTCTGAAAGTCAATCTAAAAAAGATTTTTTAAAAGCCCCCTCTCTATAAACCCTCCTAGATTCTGCTGCTTCCCCCTCTCCCTCCCACATTATAGTCCAGCCCTTTGCATGTGGCTGCCTTCTCCACCAGCCTGGGAGCCCGTCCAGGAAGCTGCAGTCTCGTTTGCCTGTCCCAGAAGTCAGCCCAAGGCCTTACCCCTGAGCACCAGGGAAGGTTTGTTCTTTAAGTGGATGTTCTTTAAGACACTCACCCAGTGACCCTGTCCCAACCCTCTGAGACTCAGTTTCCTCTGGTGCACAGTCTGTTTCAGAGAACGGTGCGACCACTCATCTAGGCCCCCAGACTGAGAAACCTAAAGCTACACCCCTCACTCTCCTCAACCCTGCGTCCAGCCAACCATCAGGTGCTGTTGGCTCCTAAGTAGCTCTGGGACCCCGTGTGCCCCTCTCCATTGCCACTGCTGCCCATCTTGTCCACGCTCCCCTCCTGCACCCCTCACTGCCAGTCTCTGACCTGGCCTCTCTCCAGTGCCACCCCTGCCAACTGATTCTCCATATAGTGACCGCAGCACAGCTTCCCACATGCATGATGAATCCTGTCCTGCTCTGCTGAGAATCCTTTGGTGTCTCCAATTTACCCTCAGGATCTGGTCCAAATCCTTAGAGTTTACACGGCCCAGCAGACCGTATCATCTCAGGCTCATCTGCCCCTAATCATCCTCAAGATCCCCCACCACACATCCACAGGTAAGTCCCAGTTAGCCACAAAGGTCCATCCCAGGTCTTTATGGCCCCCTTGGGAGAACTTTCCAGTCCCGGCCTTTGCACAGGCTATTCACTCCTCCTACACGCCCTCCCTCTCTGCAGCAATCACACCGGTGTGTAAATGCCAGATCCCCTGCTCTCCCTTCCACCCCTGGCACTCCTGGGAGAGGGCCCAGCAGATTCGCCTCTGTGTCCCTAGGGCCTGCACACTTCCACCCAAAGGAACATTCAGAAATGCCTGTGTGTTGAGGAACCAACCCAGCAAATTCTCTCTGATCACAGCCTCGCCTGCCTTGGCAACTGTCAGTTGAATAAACGGTCTTGGGTTGCACTGAGTGCGGGAGCGCTGAGCCCCAGGCCAGTCCAGGCTCCCACAAGTCACTGTCTCGGACCAGGAGCTCAAGGGGACACAGTCGCTGGCGGCGAGGTTGGCCCAGGCCAGGTTATGCGCCTTTGCCGGGTCAACCGCCCGCTAAACAGGGGCGGCTCCCGACCTCGGAAACTCGGTTTCTCCGAGGGAGAGTCCGGTACGGCCCGGACTGCCTATCCCAGACTACTCCTTTTGTGGGGCCAACCCCGGGTTCCGCTGATCCGCTGGAAGTAGCAGGATTGGGAGCACTTTCTAGCCTCCGAGAGAAGGGAGCGCCCAGCCGCGTGAAGTCAGGCCTGCGGTCTCAGATCTCTGGGTGCAACACCTTCATTGCACCCCCTCAGTTTCTCCGAAACTGCGTGAGGTGGACACTGTGTCACCCATTTTGCACACGTGGAATCAGAGGTTCAGAAGAACGGGCAACTGACTTGCCCAAGACCACAAAGAGCGTGGGGCCAGGGTTGAGGTCCGCTACGGAATGCAAAAAGGACCTAGAGAACCTGCGGAAGCAGCCAGACCGCAGATGAGAAGAGCTGGATCCTGTCTACGAATAGGAGGGACCTGGTCTGACCCCGTCGCGTCCCCACCCCAAGCCGCGTGTCCTGGAAAGTCGCGTGCGTAGGACCTGGGTCCCGCGGATTTGGGCAGGCGGGGAGTGCTTTCCCAGAGAGTGGGGAGAGCCCGCCAAGGGAAGGTCCCGGCAGCAGAGGCCAGGCAAGAGACGCTGCGTCTCCCGCTCTTGGTCTCCGTGCGCCGTCGGCGCTGCGCTGTGCCCGAGTGTAGGATCCCAGGTCCTCCAGCTTGGCTGTGCGGGATTCCTTGTTCTCCGCCATGTACGCGTGCACGACACCCTGCGCACCCCTTATCTTCCTGCTCCCCGATCTGCTATCCCCGGGCGCGCTCTGCGCCTACAGTGGCTGCTAGCAGGGCGCCATCCTCTTTGCTCCGCGGCTAGCGCCGCGAAGGCTCTCTCAACAGCCTCCTTCCTCTCCGCATGTCACCCCAAATGCCAGGAACTGTCCCCAACCCTAGGATCTTCCCGTGCTCTCGGGGGCTACGCCCAGTTCACGAAATCATTCACGAGCTGGATTCCTGGGTGGGAGTGGGGAGTCTTTATGCAGTTTTGAATGCGTTGCAGGCCGTCCTGAAGCGTGTCCGCCACCCAGGGCAGGAACCGGTGGCACAAACAAGGGGCACAGGGAGGCTCACAGTTGAAGCCTCTGACAAACCGACAAACTCCTTTCCAGGCGGGCTGCGAGGCCCTAACTACCGGATTCCGGAAGCAGCGAAATCGACCGCGGAGACAACGAAACTTCAAGAAAGGAGTATTTGCCAATTGCGAAGGGAGTGTCACAGGGATCGGGGGGCGCGGCTAGTGACCCTGCCACCCTCAGCACAGGCTCGCGGGTCCCTGGGCCCCGCGCACGTCGTGGGGCAAGGGCGCAAAGGACAAGGGGTTTGGGGATGGAGAGGTGTCCGACACATACTGCGCTTCCTGGCAACTGCTGAAAGGAGTAGGGTGGGTAGCTTGCACCTCCTTGCCCTCTATCCCCTGCGCAGGAAGCAGAGATATCTGGGTACTCGCGGTTGTGGGAAAGGAGCTTGTGCGCCTTTGACCAAGTCAGTTTCCCCTAGGTACCGATAGGCGCTCGGTAATTCGTTCTTGAATGAATGAGCCTCAACGAAGGAGCCCATCCTAATTTCACTGTGATCCATTCTCCCATTATTAGGCTACCCGTGTTCTGCATGAAAGAACCGAAGCTCAGAGTGGGAAGGCCAATGTCGGCTGCGAAGCTAATGAACCACGGCGCTGAAACCAGACCAGAGTTCACTCGTTTTGCGTTCAGGACGCTCACTTGATGGCCTTAGAGAGATTCTTTGAGACAAACAAGGGAGTCGGTGGTGGAGCCCTTCCTATCCCTTCTGCTGCTGTCCCTTTTAGGCAAACCCTTAGGAGAAGCCAGAAAAAAAACAGAACCAGCAATTAAGAGGTTAAAACGCCCCGCGCCTCGGAGGTCTTTGCCCGAGGCCCCTCCTCCGATCTTCACTCTCCGCTCCCGCAACATCTGTCCCCCAACAGCTGGCAGCCGCTGGGCTGCTCCGTGCCGCGGTGGGGGGCCGCTTCCCAGCTCTGAGTCTCCCTGGGGACCCTCACTCTGGGGGAGGGGTGGGGTTCTCCCGCTGGAGCCCGTGGTTGGAGTTTGGGCTCTAGGAGCAAGGCTGGAGAAGGCTGGGGGGCTTGCCTGAAGTCACGTGGCCCAAACTGGGGACTGGAACTTCAGCTGGCAGCCCTGCAGCCCAGCCCAGGGTACTCTCTGAACCCCACCTCCATAAAGGCCAGGAGCACTAGTTAACCCTTTACTCCCCATGGCCATGGTCAAGAGGAAGAGGGCAGGGGACTACAGTGACCTGATCAGGGCAAAGTTGATTGAGTCAAGGCATCTGAGGAGGTCACTCCTGCCCTACTGATCCCAGGGCCCACCCAAGGAGGGTCACACAGCAGAGCACACACTCAAACTGGGCAGGATTCTTCGTGCTAGCAGAGAGGGGTCTTTGCTGCTTCACAGGCCCCCTTCTTGAGAGAAGGGCTGTTGACATATCTCACCTACAGAAGAAGAGTATTGAATGTTTAGACAGAAGGATAGCAGAGTCAGGTAGCCATGGGGCTTATCTAGTTTCTACCACTTATTAGCCATGTGACCTCACCTCTCAGGGCCCCAGTTTCCCACTCCTATCATGTGGGGATTGTGAGAGTATCATAATCATAGGGTGGACCTGAGGATTCAATGAGATAAAGCAAGGAAAGGGTTAACACAGTTCCTGGCTTATAGTCTGATGACCAGTGTCCTCATCCCTGCCCAGCCCCTCTTCCACTCTCTTCTCTCTGGCTGTGACCTGCGTTGGTCTCTTTCCATTATCCCAGGACACCAGTCTCCCCAGCAATACAATGAGCATGGTGCTCCTGGAGGCCAAGGGAGCCAGAGGGATGCTGCAGATGGGTCCATGCCCTGACTGGGGGCGGCAGCTGCAGGCTGGTGGGCGGAAGGAAGCTGTCTGAAGTTGTGGTTGCTGCGGACAGTGAAGATATGAATGCCCCACAAAGGGACACTATTCTGTTCCCCAGGATTTTTCTTCACTTCTTAGAAGAAAATATAAAGAAGAATGGTCTTAACAAAAAAAGGTGAAGATATTAAAACAATATATTTCTGGCGGTAATTTTTTCCAGCTAGGTCAGGGAGTGAGGTAAGGTGGAATCTGGCTAAACCCACGGGACTGATGAGGTCCCTGTTTGGAGCGAGAGTTGGAGAGACTGAGGCAGAGACGTCCAGCCAGTAACCTTGCCCAGGGCACAGAACCAGTGGAAAAGCCATCCCTCCCAACCACCCAAATGAGCTAGGGGCAGCACGGGACCTGGGACTCCCCCCATGCTCTGCAGCCTACCTGCCTAGTGAGCTTCGAGGGCCTTCCTAACCTCTAACTTCTGGAACCTACCAAGGGGGACAGAAGGAGGGTCTATAGGATGGTGTCAAGGAGGGGCGAGATGGAAGATGGAAACAAGGGAAACCCATCCCTGAGCTATAAGACCAGAGGCCAGAGGGCTGTGGGAGCCCCCAAGCCCCCTTCTTCATGGGGTCTTTGTCCCACCTTCCCTCAGTGTTGTAAGAGCTTGGCCTCTCTTTGGGCAGAGTGCTCCAGTACATGTCCCACCAGACCCTTGACCCTGGGATTCAGGAAACAGAGGGCCAGAAAATCTCAGCACATGGCCCTTTCTGAGTCCCAGCTCTTGAGACGGAAACACTGCCTCCCACGCCACTCACTACTCATGCTTTTCTCCAGGAACGTCGCCCTTCCAGCAGCCACCCAGAGCTCTGGGCTGCTGCTCAGAACAGACAATAGTCCCCGCCTGGCGCTCCGCCGGCTTGTTCTTTCCCTTTTTGTGGGTTTTATTATTTTTGTTACAGGTGGGGCTACCAGGAATGGGCTGTGCCTGCAGGGAGACCTGATTCCAGGAGGAGTGATCAGAGGAGCCACAGTTCTTCCCACCACCTGGGGAAAGGGAACTTTTATTCCCTCCATTTTCTTAAATGAAAATCTGTTTTAGTTTTGCTGTTGGGACTCTTCTCACTGGGGAAGGATTGGTGCTCAGGACCTGCAGCCCAGAAATGGCCCAGCCCCTTGCCTCCAGGCAGGCCCTGCTCCTCGAACTGCCTGAGAAAATGCCACCAGAGGATTGTACCCAGCAACCCCATGCCAATGGTGACAATGGTGATAACGAGGCACACACAGGACCTGCAATTTAGGGAACCTCTACTGAGCCTTCCTCTGTTCACGGGCCTCCTGAGCAGCTCAGAGAGACAACCCTGGAAGTAGGGCACTGAGGGCAGAGGAACACATTGACTTGTTCAGGGTCACACAGTTTCTGCCTCTCCCCAACAAGAGCTACGTCTCCACCCCACTGCAGTGAGGAGAGGTCTGTGGGTGCAGTGCAGACTCTGAACAGTGAGGACAAGATCTAAGTGTTGACTGATCCTTGCAGGTCTAGTAAAACCACCTTCAAGGAGGCTCAGTCCAACCTGGGCATGATGTGGGGCTGGAGAAGCAGTGAGGAATTTGGGCAAATGGCTCATGGGGCTGCCAGGTCTGTGGTCACAAGGAGGGCTGGGAGTGGGGTGCAGCCCTGTCTTACTCTGCAGGAGGAGGCTGAGATATCCTGCTGGATTCCCCAGACTGGAGCCTGTCCCTAGCCAGCTGCTGGTGAGCCCAAGAAGCCCAGAAACAACAGCTGGCAAGGTTTTCTTTTGTTCTTTCTTTCTTTTTTTTACCAACTGGAGTCAGGCCTAGAACAGGGAGGTTGGTAGACAAGGTCTCTAACCTCCATTTCCTGCCCTGGCCAGCCAATCGGCAGATGGGACAGTGAGAGCAGATACCACACTCTGGCTACACACCACACAATGACAAACCCCTCTGACATACACACATGCAGCAGTCCACATCCACAAACCCACAAATGCACTCACATCACACCCTTGAACTCCTCAGCGTCTGAGTGAAGGCCTTAAGCAGAAATACACCCTGAGGTGGTTGTTGGGGGAGGTGAGGAAAATGTCAGGATTTCAGAATCCTTACTCTATTACCTCTAGATCCCTCCTGGATGTAATTTTGTCCTGACCACCTTGCACACACACACACACAGTCCCAACATCCACATGTAGATACACTCGATGCTCACACATAAACTAAAACACAAATGCTTGTCATACAGGAACACACACACTGTCACATACCCCAGACCCTGCTTGGTGATGTGTTCCCCCAGAGCCACTGCACAGATCTAGGCCACACACACACACACACACACACACACACACACACACACCTTGCACCTAAGTCCTAGGCCACCTGGCAGAGCCCCCTCTTCCCATGTACACTCCAGCTGCACACTCTCACACCCATACACAAAAGAAGACTTGAACCATGCTTCCTATGACTTCTCCAAAGTAACCTGGTCCCAAATGCTGCGTGCTTCCCCCTAGGCTCATGGTTCTTTCTTCCCAAGTCCCTGGAGACTCAATGCCCAGGTAGGAGGAAGGGCATTGCCTTCCACCGCATTCCATGACCCTCAGGCCATCTTTCTGGAGCAGGGATCTTTCTAGGGAAACTGAAGTCATGACCTCAATGGAGGCAAGGATGGGAAGGAGGTCTGAGGCTTGCTACTGGGAGTAGGTGTATCCACTTCCTGAGAAAGCCCTTGGGAATAGGCATCCCTCCCAGGAACCAATCCCACTCTGCCCTTCAGACTCCGTAGGCCGGTGGCCTGGCCTCAGGCCTGGTCCACGCTTCCCGCCATGATCAGGAGGGCAGCAGTTGCACCCCTGACCTCGCAGTGACCTCGACCCTATTACCTGTCGTGCCTGAGCCCCGTTTAGGGAGTGAGGCGCTCCAGGAGCCCTGGCAGGGCGGGAGGATAATTCTGGCATCAGCCAAGAGGCTGCCCTGCCGCTCGGAGAGCGCAGCCAGGGGTGATCTTACCAGGGCTCTGGCGGTGACACCCTGCTCTACTCATTCCTGTCCCTGCAGCCCAAAGCCAGAACATAGAACCAGGAGATGCTGAAGCCGAGGACCTATACTACCAGGGAACTGGGGCTGGAACAGGCGCGTGGGACCCCCGTAGGACCCCAGACTGGTAATGCGACACTTGAGCGACGTGGGGTCTGAGTTGAGGTGAAGCCAGAAACAGAAGTTGGGGCGTAGAAGGAGGTACTTGGATATGGGATCAGCTAGAACTTGGGGCCAGACCAGACTAACCAAGAGCAGAGCCAGGGTGAGAGCCAGGGCAAAGTCTGGTGCCCAGTTCAGCGTCTGGCCCGGGAAAGAGGCCGGCACGGCTGGAGTCGGAGTAGGGCTGGAACCCAGAGCCCCAGCGCACTGGAGACGTGGCCAAATCGCGGCTGGGATCCGAGCGGGTCGGGGCCACAGCCGAGGACGTCAGAGCTCCATCGAGACTCTTGAGATCGAACTGGAGTCTGAGACTCAGGCAGCACCCAGGAGACAGCCAGAGACGCGACCAACACAGAGCGGGCCGCAGGAACCGGAGGCGGATTGCGGGCCGGGACCTGTGCCAGCACAGGCGCGCGGCCTGGAGCTCCTAGTTTGTGGCGCTGAAAGCCGGCGGGCTGGTCCCGCGCGGCGTGCCAGGAGTGCACCCGGAATGGGGCCTCCGGAGCTGGCGACCACGCGCCGCAAAGGCGGCTTCCGCGAGCGCTGCGGCCTGCCTGCGGCGACACTGCTGGCCCAGCGGCCGCAGCCTACCTGAAGTAGTCCATCTTGCAGAAGATTTCCTTGTTCTTGATGTAGCAGCTGTTCTGCTGCCTCAGCGACGTGCGACACACGGAGCACTCGAGGCACCGCACGTGCCAGATGAGGTTGTTGACCTGGGGAGGAGGCGGAGGTTGGGAGCGGCTCAGCGCGGGCCCCTTTTCACGCCCGGCACCGGCCTCCTCGGCCCCATTCGTAGAGAGGTTGGAGCTCTGATGGTACATGTGACTTCCCCACTTTTCTTCCATAACATTGAGGCTCAAGGAGGTAGAAATAAACTCTTCCCATTTTTCAGACGGGAACCCCGGGGCGCAGAGATTTTTCCAAAGCAGCGCAGTCAGGCAGCGGCTGAGCCAGGATTCAGAATTTAGTGGCCCTGGGCCGGCGTTGCTTCCCTGCAGTCGTCTGGGCCGCACCCCACACCCCATCAACACACAAGCAACGACCCACCCCTGTCTTACCTTGAGCAGATACCGGTCCAGGATCTCGAGGCCGCAGCTGGAGCAGATGTTCTTGCCGGCGGACGGCACGGAGGAGGCGGCAGAGGGTGGTGAGCAGACAGATGGCGTGCTGGGCGTACAGGGGGAGGCCCGACCCTCCTCCTTGTCCAGAGCGCCTGCCAGAACCTCGGCGTCCGACTGAGCCTGCAGTGGGTGAGAGAGGGAGAGCCGCGCGCTGAGCAGAGGGCTGAGCGGGTGCCCAGCGTGGCCGCTGCCTGAGAGACAATTTCGGGGCCCCAGCGCACCAACTGACAACGAAATTTCCGCGGGACGCCGCTCCGTGGACTACAGGACAGGAAGAGAAGGGACTACAGGAGAGGAAGGGACGGCCCCAACTTTTAACACGCTCATCTGGGTGCCCGGAGCAGTCAAAGCCCATATTCCCGGACAGAAAACCAAGGCTCAGATAGGGGCGGCGACGTCACGGAGTACCTCGGAGGATTGGCAGCGGTTCCGGGCCGGAAAGCCGGTCCAGGTCCCCAAAGCCGGGCCACCAGGGGGCCTGGGACCGAAGGCAAGGTCGAACGAACTCACCATGGCGGGCGGCGCGGTCCCTTCAAGGCAGCGGGTGGTCCCTTTGCAGCCGGACCCGGGCTGGGCCATCACCTGGGGGAGGGGGGAGGGAACGCAGGCGGCGGCGGCTGCAGAACTGGCTCCGCGCAGCCTGAGCCCAGCGCCTCCCCGTGCCTGTTATATAAACCGGCGCGGAACAATGAGTCTTAACTTTGTAGTGGGCATTTAAAGCCCTTCCCCACAAAAGCGGTGTCTCTCTAATGAAGCAATTTGAATTTGGATTGGATTTTTTTTCCCCTCTCTCTCCCCCTCTCCCTGCACTTAACCCGTGGCTCTTGAAGTAATCGCTTAGTTCCCTTGCAATCCAAGCCTCTGAGGGGGAAAAAAAACACGCGCACACACACAAACTACCTGCAATTAGAAATTGTCGTGAATGCCCAAGATAAGAGGTAGCCAGAGTGTCAATTCCAACTGTCAATCAGTGAGATCCATCAGGCCGCCCAAAGAATTGCAAATTTGATTTTTTAATGGTAGTAATTAAAAATCGAATTTTTTCTCCCTCCACCCACCCCCCTTCCTCGCTTCCTTCTCCTCCTCTCGACACAAAATGCAAAACGGAGAAAAGAGAGAAAGAAAATAAAAAGGAGATGGAGGCGGGTGGCGTTTGAGGAAAATAAATCCCGAAGCGCACGGAGCATCCGCCCGGCCCAGCGCGCTCGGCGAAATTGATGCGGCGATATTGACACGAATTCAGGCGCCTTTCGAGGGCCAGTCGAAAGGAAACCCGAGCAAAATGGGGGCTAGGTAGGGGGGCGGGCCAAAAAGAGAAAACAGAGGCGTCCACGAGGAGGCAAACACAGCCTCCAGCCGCTCGGCGCGCCCGGGACCGGCCCCGCGTCGGGATTCTCAGCGCTGTGGCGCACAGCCCCCGGCGCCTCGGCGCTATCAGCGCCTATTCAGACGGACAATACCCGCCTCGCCTCCTCTTGATTCGCCTGTGTCTTTGCTAAATCGCTTTTTGAGAAATTCCTCCAACATTTGCATAATGTGTTCCCGCTTTCTGCGACCCCCCCTCGCGCTCGCGCGCGCTCAGACACTCACCCACACTCCCGGGCGCACCCCCGCACCCCTCCTCCCTGCGGCCGCCCGGCCCGGCCCGGCTGCGGCCCGGCCCCTGTCCGACCCTGGCCCGGCCCGCTCCCCCGCTCGCACGCCCGCTCTCTCACCTGGTCGGCGGCGGGGCCGCCCTCGGCCGGCAGCCGGCAGCCCTCGGGCAGCGCCGGGGCGGCGCTCTCATGCTTCCAGTACATGGGCCGGGGAGCAGCGGGCTCAGCGGGCGCGCAGCGCGGGGAGCCGCGCCGAGGGGCGCCACGGCCGCAGCGCGAGCACAGGCTTAGGCCGGAGCTGGAGGAGAGCGGAGGCGCCGGCCCCGCCGCCCCGGGCCCGGCCCCGGCCCCCGCCCCCGCCCCCGGCCCGCGCGCAGCCTCGGCCTCCCTGGCTGCCGCTGCGGCTGCCTCGGAAGAAGGTCCCGACAAACTTGGGAAGGCCCCCGCCCCCTCCTCCGCCGCCGCCTCCCCCTCCTCCTGGTCCTCCTCCCCCTCCAGCTGCGGCGGCGGCCGCCCTGCCGCTGGAGCCCCGCTCAGTTCAAGATGAGTCATGCGTGACCAATCCCCTCCCCGCCGAGGGAAGGCGAGACACACACAGCGCGGCAGCGACCCAGAGACGCGCACGCACAGACGTATAGACACACAGAACTCAGAGCTGCTGACAGACTCGGAGACACGCTGACATACAAAGGCACTGGCGGCGCGAGTACACACAGCTCTCACTACCCGCCCTCCCCTCATGGGCACCACGGCCCACAGGCACAGCCGGGTCGCAGGTACGAGAGGGACCCACCGTCACACCCTGGGCCCACATGGATTCCATTTAATGCCCCACGTTGTACTCTGATGATGCAATCCCACGTCTGCTACATTTGTGTACATACAGACTGATGCAAACGATTTACCTGTTCACATCATTTACACGAGTACATGGCATGCACACATCCTCTTCAGAGCACCTGCACGGATACCTCTGCTCCCTAACAACCCGAGAGTGCCACAGCTCCTAAGGAATGAATCGCACAGGGCTGGCTGAGGAAATAGAGTTACTTGGGGTCAGCATTGTTCCCCTGAATTCTCCTGGGAGGGATTTGCTTGGAACAATCCCTTTCCCCTCAGGATTTGCTGAGCCATCCTCCTCTGAAGCCCATCTCACCTTCTCTAGGGTTCTACCTTAGTGAGAGAGAGAGAGTTAGGGAGGCCCAAGCATGTAGCCGGGAGACACAGCCCCCAAACACACAGACACAAAGCCCTCAAACTCAAAGATTGTGCCTTAAACACACTAACAGCCTACAACATACTCACTCCACTAGACACCCACAGCCTCAGCCTAGGTCTCCACACAGAAATCAAGACTAGAGAGACACATGTAAACATACATCATCTTCAAAAAACAAATATGCACACTCAGATCCAGCCCTACAGACACCACAACACCCCGCCTCCACGCCATCATACAAACCGTCACCTCCCTAATTGCTGTCATCTACACATGTAAACATGCAAGTGTTCTTACTCTTGTACACTCATCCATACTCAAGAGAGCATAGACTCCCATAGAGCTCCAAAACCCTGTGAAACCTCATGTCCTCTACCCAGATACCCACAGACATGCACACACATCCCTACAGACAGCGAAAGAACCATTTCCAGGCAGAAATAACCTTCACACTGCTGCAGACACAGTATTCCTAATAGTCACAGCCTCAGTCATGCACACACATGGACTCACCCTAAATGGGCACAGCACACGGGGGTATCTGCACAGCAATGTAATACTTAAGACCCACACCTGTACCCCTGAAAGATATGAATATCTGTTCTTTTGCAGACACATTGGTACACAGAAATGGTCCCAGCCACAGCCAACGGCATCTCCACCCCTTACATTCCATCGCAGATACAGAAATTCAGTGAAAAGTTTCTCTCTGAACTCTAATCTTTTCTACAAAGAATACAACTGGTGAGATGTGTGCATATGCATACACATGTGCACACACACACACACATGAACCCTTAAACATCCACACGACCACAGACAAATGGCCTTCTTCCCTTCAAAAACCTCTTGTGCACATAATAAACCCAGTGTTACTGGGTACTTTAATCCATGACAGGCTTAGCGTTTTACAATCATTACTTCATTTTCCTTTCACAATAACCCTTGAGGTAATGCCTCTTACCCATTTTACTGATGAAGAAACTGAGGTTTAGAGAGACCATGTGACATGCCCCAAATGGTGCCACATGGCTAATAATTGCCAGAGCCAAGAACTCACCGCCAGATTCATCTGACATCAGAGCTCATACTCTTGATTTCTAGGCTACACAAATGACCATGTCCACTCTCTGTACACACACACTCTTTCCGTATTATTGGTCAAAAGACCTGGATGTGACTCCTGGCCTCATCACTATGACCTAACTTTGTTTTCTCATCTACAAAATGGAAATAACAAGTGGATGACCTTCATCTCCTTCTTTTCCCCTTCTGGATGGCTGGGGGAGAGGGAGGTCATAAGACATTACACAATGCTGCACACGTTAGTTGTGTGAGTACAGAAGGACTCCAGAAAAGGAGCCTGCAATGACGGCACTGGTTTTACAAAAGTACTCAGGTAAGACGTGTAGAGGAGGCTTGAACTGAAACTAAAGAGCAGGTGAAATTTGGATGGATGTGGGGGAGAGAAGAAAGCATTCCAGGTAGAGAGATGAGTCCAAAGATCCAGAGGCTGGACAGACCACTGCAGTCCCATGAGAAAGAATGTGAAGCATGTGCTCCTGGGTAAAATAGTCATAACATACATACCGTTTATTGAGCATTTATGTGCCAAGCACTGTTTGATATACCGTATCCTCTTTAACCCTTGCAGCAACCCTACGAGGAGGTTATATTATAATACTTATTTTGTAATTAAGGGAACAGGCTACCAGGAGCTCCTTTTCAAGCTCTAGCACTCAGACTCCAGAACCCAAACTCTGACTGAGTATGCAGTTCTGCTCCTGAATTCTGATTAGTTGCTCAGGAAGTCCAAACTGGAATAAGAGGCTTTAACCTCAGCAGGGAAGCATGAAGTCTGTGGAGCCAGACTGCCAATGTGCTAATCTTGGCCCTGCCCCTTATTGCCTGGGTAACCTGGGACAAGCTATTCAAGCTTGTTCAGCCTCAGTTTCCTCATCTGCAACCGAGGGGTGACAACAGAGTCCATTTCCTATGCTTGCAGAAATTAAGCAAATGATCCATGTAAAAGGGCTCAGAAACTTGTCCGTGTGCCAGATGGCAACCAGGAAGTATTTGCCATCATGACAAGATGGACTGGCTGCTTTTCTAGTTGTTATTCTACCAGGTGCCACATCTTTTTTTTTTTTTTTAATAGAGGAAGGCAGGGCATAAATCAACCAAGAAAATCTAAGGAAGTTGCAGAACCATTATTCCAACTCAGGGCTTGCCCGACTTCAAAGATGACAAAAGTGAAATTACTTTGGAGAAGAAATGTCTCTTCCAACATCCCCTGACTCCAGCAGGAAAGGGAGACCAGATAGGAGAGACCTTGGCAAAATTGGAATTAACAAATACAGCACCTTCCATCATGACATTCCATTTCTTCTCATGGGAGACTGAAGAGCAAGTCATTTAGCTTCCTTGAGTCCGAGTTTCCTTGTTTGCAGAGTGGGGATAACAATACTTCTCAGTATTAAAACTAATATTTTTAAAGGCTTACCTCTATTCCTGGCACCATATAAGCACTTTACATGTATAGTATCAGAAGGAGTCTACACATACAATGTCATCAGCACCTGACGTGTATAATGTCATCTAGTCCTCCTGGTCACTAAACAGGATGCGGTCATTGCATCCTCCGTGAATTTTGCCATCCTCCTCCATCCAAGTCTAGGTCCGAGATCTGGGTTTAAAAAGAGGCTTCATGAGTAACTGGATCATTCTGTGGGAGCACCCCCAGCAGCGGTTCTGCCCCGCTGGGGAGTAATTCTAGGAAGGTAATGTGAGCTGGGGGAAGCTGGAAACCCAGCTTCACATTTATTTACTCTGACAGCTAAATTGGTGAGCAAGGGGGAAAATCAGATGAAAGCCATTTCAGGGTAAATACTGAATACAAGATTTCAACATTCAAGTTGTGACAAATAGGGAGTGGGCAATGGAAGAGACATGGGCAGCACACCCCTCCCTGGCTTGGGACCTATCCCCCTCACCTTGTCACCTTCCTGGGCATTTCCTGCTTGAGCAGACGAAAGAGCACAGAAGGGGATGCAGACTGCATGACCCCTAGGCAAGCAATGTACCTCGCCTGGCCTTAGTGCCCTCATGGGGAAAGTGTCTGTGTGTGTGTGTGTGTGTGTGTGTGTGTGTGTGAATCGGATCATTGGGGGAGTGATGGAGAGAGCACTGTCCTTGGAGTTAGACAGACCTGAGGTCAAATCTCAGCCTAGCCACTTCTTGGCTGAGTGAACCTGGAAAAGTCACTTCACTCATCTGAACCTTGGCTTTCTCAGCTATGGTGATAATATCAATCTCAGAGGAGTAAGTGAGATAATCCGTGTGAGAGGGCTTTTTAAACCTGCATGGATATTTCAAATGTGAGCAACTACAGTGACCCAAAGTCCCTTTCCAGTTCTGACATCACTGTGTAAATTCAGATCAGCAGGCATCTATCAAGCCAGACTCCATGCTAAGGCTCCAGAAACACAGAGCGATCCATCCTAGTCCCTGCTCTTGAGGAGCCCAGTCCTTTGAGAGTGAAGAGAGCCAGAATTTGCAGTGCAGCGTGGCAGGTGCTACACAAGGGGTGGCACAGGAGGTGGGGCATGTTACGGGGTTGGTGTCAGGCTACAGGCTTACAGAGTAGGTATCAGGAAAGGTGTCCTAGAGGAAGTGACCTGTCAGTGATGAAAGGGTGAGTGACTGTGAGGCAGGCCAGGCCAGAGGGGACTTAGATCAGAATGGAGAATGGGTGCCCAGTTAGTAGTTTGCTAGGGCAATGTAGGGAAATGAGGCTGGGGAGGTACATAGGAGCCAGGTGGTGAGGGCTGAGGGCCGAGCTGAGGAATTTGGATTCATCTTGAACATGATTTGTCTATAAGCCAAGTTCTGCAGGAAGCAGCAACCTGTCTCTGCAGAGGCAGCATCAGGGATTCTGGGAATCAGGTAGCCCAACTTGGTACCTGACTGTTACATACTGGTTGTACCTAAGGCAAATGACAAACTCGATGAGTTTTAGTTTCTTTAACCATAAAACAAGCATTAACAGCCCATTTACAAGGACTGTGATGATTTCAGGAGACCAAGCTACATCTCCAAGAGTCTGGCACTGGTCTGGCATCCGGCAAGCACTGAGACACCCAGTGCCACTGTCATTGCTAAGAAGAGGGTGTCATGGGGACACAGAAAGCACTTGCTAAGTGGAGAGTCCTCAAGGGGCTAGATGTCCCCTCCTCAGAGAATTCTGCCCCTGCTGCTGGAAGTAAATCTCTCTGATACTTTTTTCCCAGCAGAAGATAGATAAGGCTTAAAAATAGACTCTAAGTCTTATACAGCATGCTAAGGAATTTCAACTTCAAAATATAAATACATAAAATAATATTTACATATTAAAACTACATATGATGTTATATAGAGCATATTATATATAATGCATAACACTAATATATAATACATATATATGTAACTTAATATGTAAACTTGATTATGTAGGAGACTGGATGTGGACAGTGGGGAACAGAAGATGTCAAAGATAATGCTCAGGTTTCTAATTATTTATTTTTCTTCTGTATGTTGTTCCCAAAGACATGAGACATAGGAGTGACTGGGGAGGGGCAATGTGGAACACTGGGATGTTTGGTTCAGTGGACCAGGGGAATATGCAGGTGCCCAGGAATGAACTGCATATCTGGGTCTATAGCTCAGAAGACAGGCTGGAACTGGAGAAAGAAATCTCAGAGAGATCAGGGCAGGGGTGGCAGTTGAAACCATGAGAGTTGAGATTTTTACAGGATCCAAGATTAACTTCACATATAGAAGAGAGTTGACTTGTTTACTTTCCCACTTCAGGGGGAAGCAACTTGTCCTTGAAGCTAATCTTATTTTCAATCTTATATTTAAATTATAAAGTGTGTGTATGTGTATAAATATAATATATATAAACAGTGATATAAGTATATCATGTATATATGTATAATGCATATATAAAAACAGTGATATATGTATATCAGACATCTATGTATAAAGTATGTGTATATATATATCTATGTGTGTGTATATATATAATAAAGTGATATAAGCCAAAACAGAGTCTGGCATTTAAGAAGCAGAAAGGCAATTAACTGCCTTGGGGGTAATGAGGATGGGGAGGAAGAGGTCTGTTAGGCAAATGGGTGGGGGTGTGTGTGCAGAAGGGACCTTCCAAATAGAAGGAACATCTTATCTTGTACAGGGACATGGGGACCTGGTGGATCACATCAAATTTGGGGTGTGCAGTTTAATTTGGTAAGGGGGAGAACATATTGGGGCAGATTGGAGAAGGCCTCATACACCTGGCTTATCCTACAGATACAGGTACTCAAGCGTCTTAACACCTATGATTAGCTCTCTCATGTCAAATGGCTTTGTTCTTCCTCCAACACTTTTCCTATATCTTTTTCCTAGCTTGTGTTTAAACATCCTTCAGCACTCAGTTCAGGTGTTGTGTCCTCTGGGAAATCACCCATGCCTTCACCTCCACTTCCATCGTCTGCACTCAGCAGCTCCTGAGACTTTCCTTCATCACGGCACGTGACGGTGCCCGGGGACCATGCCGTACCAGTCTCACACCCTCTGTGCCTGGCACACAGCAGACAGCGTATGTTTGAGGAATGAAAACTTTCCTTTTGATGAGGTCTCCCATAGGAAAGCTCCTCAAAGGGGAGAAGTTTTCAGAAGAGGAAAGCAGTTTATTTTTAAGGCTAAGTTTTTAATTCTATTTCGAGCTTAGAAAGGTCACAAGGCATATCGAAAATAAAATGTCATTCTGTGTAATTAGTAATCCTAGCCAAGTAAGACTGAATGCAGGGGAAGGAAGATACTGTCTCATGTCCTGGGATACGTTCTGACAGATCTGGTTTTTAACCTGGGATTCGAGTCTCTCTCCAGAGATCGCTAAGAAGAGCCTGCCTGGGAATGAAACCAACCCAGGGGAAAACACAATCAAGGATTCCTGACCATATCATTTGAACACCTGGGCTTTTCAGTTACATGAGCCAATAAATTTCCCACCATAAGGTAGTTTAGGTTTTCTGTCTCTTGAACTGAGTCCTGACATCTAGATTGTATGGCAGGGGTTATAAGTCTAACTCGGGCACATAGGAGGCCAAAACTCTCCGGGTCTCGGTTTCCTCACACATACAGCGAGGGGATTTAGCCTGCTCTTGTGTAGTTTTTTTCAAAAGTTGTGCTGCAGGCTCAGATGGCCAGTCCCTAACCTAAAAGACATCTAAGAGTCAGAAATGAGATAAGAGGCTGACAATACTCATTGCACACTATTCCACTGTTTTGATGGTGTTTTTATTCTCTGTTGCTAATTCTAGAACTTGTGACACCACTGAAGTTTAGAAAGATATTTCCACTAATGGAATATAGAGCAGGGGTTGGCAAACTTCTTCTGTAAGGGGCCAGATGGTAAATATTTGAGGCTTTGTGAGCCAGTCTTTGTTGCACTACTCAGCTCTGTTATTGTGTTGTGAAAATAGCCAGACAGTATGTAAATGAATGGACAAGGCAGTGTTCCAATAAACATGTATTTATGGACACTGAAATCTGAAATTCATATAATTTTCATGTGTCACAAAACAGCATTCTTCTTTTGACTTTTCCCTCAACCACTTAAACATGGAAAAACCCACCTGAGCTTTGTGGTCTGCACAGGCCCTGTTGACTTGGTGAACAGTGGAGTGTTTGCAGGCCTGGGTTCTACCTAATGCCCTCCCATTAACTCTCTGAATCTGACCACGTCCCTTTGTCTGAGGTGGTATTTTTTCCATCTGGACAATGAGGGGGCTATGTGGGATACAGCCTCTCAAGGCCCATCAGCCCTCAAGTACCACAATGCTGATTTCTCATCAAAGATTTATTCAGCATCTGCTACATACCAGGCATCACTTCAAATGCTGGGGACATAGCAAGTTCCTGCTCACATGGAGCTTACATTCTAATGAAAAAAGATAAAATATATGTTGGGTAGTGCTAAATGCTATTTAGAAAATGAAGAGGAAAGGGGTTGGGGAATGACAGGGCTGTAGTTTTAGAAAGGGAGGCCTGGTGACTCCTTGATCACTGACATTGATATTGACATGAACAAAGTAGGGAGCGGGCTGGGTGGAACAGCCAATGTAAAGACCTTGTGGTGGGAGCTCCCTTGCTTCAGGGAATAGCAGGGAGGCCAGTGTGACAGGAACACAGTGACAAAGGCAGTAACAGTAGGCTATAGGTCAGCCCAGGACAGGGCACTGAGGGCCTTGCAGGCCTTTGGATTTTACTCTAGGTGTGATACAAAGCCATTCAAAAGAGGACGATGTACTCTGACTTTAAGAGGATTGCTTTGGCTACTGTGTAGAAAACTGACTCAAAGGAGGCACTAGTGGAGGCAGGGAGATAATCTGGAAGGTACTGCAACATTCCAAGCAAGAGATGGCAATGGCTTCAGCAGAAATGACAGTATTGGAGGTGGTAAGGTGGTTGGATTTAAGATGTATTTTGTAGGTGGAGTTGACAGGATTTGTCAAAGGACTGGACAACAAGGGATAGGGCTCTACAATGTTTTGTTTTTAAAAATGTTTTGTTGTTGAAAAATCTTTCCTCCCCATTATGAGGTGCCAATTCCAGAACATCAACTGGTTAGGGTTACACTCTGTATTTGATAAAATAGGAGTTGGATTAAGAAGATAGTTCATACCTTTCTCTTGAATATATCCCCTTCAGTCCTTCCCTCTTACATAAATCAAAATTGTAAGTGACATAATTTTGGCAAAATGGCAAACCAAAAATAAGTTTTCAACTACAGATAATCTCATAACAAAGAGTCGACCAGGTTTACACTTTAATCTCAGAAACGTTTCATCAGACTGCTTTCAGCATGTTTATGACACATACCTTTATTCTTCTGAAACCTCTGAGACAGGGGCTAAACACAGTATGATACTTTCAGGAACTTCCACTAACAACTTTTCAAATAGATTTGCAGTGAGAACAGTTAGTAGCGACAGGCAGGCATAAAGGGTGGAGAGAATTGCCTCTGAGGTTGCCTCTAGCGAAAGAGGCTCCGCTTCTGCAGAGCAGGCACTCAGAGAGAGCATCGCACCTGGACATGCCAGCCCAAGTTCGGGGAACAAGCCTACAGAGAACTCACGGCAGTCTTTATCACCGTTATTCCAGGAAATGGATGAGAGAAAACACAACCACACGGACACTGTCTTGCTTTTATTCACACCGAGGAATAAGAATTGGTACAAATAATAAACATTGCTTTAAATACAAATAAATAGCTCTGATTTCTAAAGGAAACAACTCTAGATCATTCAAATTTTTTTCTAAGTTCCTATTAAAAATAGAAGATTATTTCGCATTAACTAAATCCTACTCTACCACAACCCTTTGAGGACTTAAGGAAAAAATGGTGAATCCTATCCTCTAAGTTAAAGTTACCAGAAAAATGGGAGATAATGCTCCCACTTCCCTGAATTATCCCTCAAATGGAAGGAGTTGCTTGCATCATAGACAGAGCCAGTAAATGCAGAAAGTATTTAATATCTAAAAAGACTTACCTTAAGAAAGGTGCTAAGAATTTCTCTGAACCAGTTCTGTGAATTCTGAAACCTCACTATGTTGAAGTTTTGGTTCAAATATCTTAATTCACTTATTCTCCCAGGAAGACTTAAGTCCTATAATGAAAGCTTCCTCTTGCTAGGAACGGTAACGGTAAACAGTCTGTAATCTACGAATGACACCTAGGGCATCAGGACGATTCATCTAGTAAAGAGGCAACAGCGCTGCCCAACAGGACTGTCAGCCTGGCACCAAAAGACCAAAACTGCTGACAGAAACACTCCCACCCCACCCCAGCCAATCTGCTGCTTTCTTCCTCTCTACTGTTATATTTAGAATGTTCAAAGTAGCAGAAATGTCCGGGGAGACGTATGTTCTGCAAATGAAAAATCACTTTAAAGTCATGCGGTCTTTCAAGCCTTTGGAAACTACATACAACACGATGTCATTACAGTCCTGCTGCCAGACAGGTGCCTGCTCCACTGGCTTTGTGGCCATTGCTTGTCCTCTTCTCGCCCGATACAAGACAATTCAATTTCTTCTACTCAGACCCCTACACAATGATTAATAAATGTCTGATAGATATCAATATAGCAATGTTTAGGTTTTCAAGGAAATTTTGCTTTTCTATTTAGACTGACCATGATACAATTCCAAATAGAACATTCTCATGCTATAAAAACAATCTCATGCAATAAATGCAATTTTAAAAGTCCCACATTAATAACAACATTTGGCATTATAGAAGGCAGGATTATTCAGATTGAAAAAAAATGACCACTATAGAATAAAAGCTGGAATTCCAAACAGAACTTCCATTGTGGTACAAAATGCTAAATTTGATTCTACAGTTTTGTTGATGCAAACAATTTTAAGATATACACCATGTTTTCTTAATTGGGACTTTGAAACAATAAGCGTAACTCTAAAAACATATTACCACACATTTGATAGAATCAGCTCCCTTTGGCCAAGAACTTTTCTTTTTAGTCCACTTGGAGGGATTTCTGTAGTAAATTCTGGAACAAGAGTTCTGAACATGATTCAAAATCTCCCACTCCCCTCCCTGTCTCTTACTTTTTCTTTATGTTGTAAAGACACTTGAGCAATGACAAACGTTCTTTTTTTTCTTTCAGACAGACGTTTGATAAATTTCTTTTCCTGATTTAAATAATAACATTTTCTATGTTTGCCTTTCTCTCTGGCACACAAAATGTTTCCGGAGTTATAAATCCAAACAAACCAGCCAGCTAGAGCATCCCAGTGTTCAAATCACAATTTTGGATACTATCCTATTTGTTCTGGATGATGCTCAATCCCACACATACTTCAGGGAAGAAACATCCATAAGAACATCCAAAAATGTTATGTTAGCAAAACTCTAACATGATTGTGCTCTGCTGGATAGTATCATTCACATATACAGAGGACAAAGGCAGAGGATTTCAGGTGTGGAGACCAATTTGTTTTTGCTGCTACGGTAATTCATAACCATCATCTTCGAGATTTCCAAGCTGTTCTAGAATAAGGAGTAGTCCTTTTTTTATCTGGTGGCTTAAAGTAGGAGTAAACAGGAGCTGCTGGATACTCTGCATCAGGATTTTCTGCCATCATTTTCAGCTTTGCTTCAATGGCTTTTATCTTGGCAGTGACACTGGGAAAAGAATCACAGAAGATCAGAAAACACTTGGGTATGTCATTTTCTTTATGCCTCTTATGCATGTCAGAGAAGTGATAAGATACTCTTTATTTTTCCATTCTTGATGCTGTCGATGGTCTTAAAGTCAAGGAGAGAAAGGTGGAAGGGAATGTACACATCTGCTGTACATACTCATAACCTTACACAAACAACGTAAAATTTTAAATTTACGTTAGAAGAGAAAGAACACCAGGTATTATCAAGATGCATTCCAGCACCTCTGCCATTAATGGGACGGCCTGCTGTTCCTTCTGTGTGAGTCACAGGGAAAACAACCTTCTCTAGTTAGCCGCAGATGTTACTAGAAGATGTAAGCGAGGTTCTCTGGATTAAAACACAAATGGAAAGCACTAGGTTATCTAGTAAAAAATGCCAACAATGAAAATAAGAAACTGAAGACATGTGTGCTGTAGCATGGAGATCACCATGCACAAATTCAGTCAACTCTTCCCGGCAGGAGTTAGATTTAGGAAAACCTCTGTGGAAACCAATCTGTGATCACAGAGGTTCAAAACCTTATGCAGAAAATAGCACAGTGCATCTATAGAAGTCATTATAATCATAAAATGTTTTTGGAGTACAAAACAATAAAGCAGCACAAAATTAAGAAGTATCAGTGATATTAAACTTAGAATAATATAAATTTTGACTTACCACTTTTATCACTCCTGAAAACATTTCAGGATGACCTTCCCCCTGCAGTTTAATGAGATGCTTATACATGTTTTCTTTGGTGTACATAATACATGAGAAAAGGCTGTTTTGTTTTCTCCTTGGCCTTCCATCCAAATGGGCATCACTTTCCTGACTTTATGATTGTGTGCTGATCTCCAGTTCTTACAAACCTCTGAGGTTCCTTTATGAATCCTCTTCCCCGCCCCTGCAACAGGCTTTAGAACTGTATTCCTGCATTCACAGCATGGAGTTTCCTTGAAGTATTGACTGAAAGTTGAATTTTGAAGTCCAGCAGGTCTGGCTTTGCATATGGACCTGCTATTTTCTCAGTTGCATGATCTTGGTCAAGGTATTTTATTTACCTCGCTGAGCTTCAGTTTCCTCAAATGTAAATGAGTGTAATAGCACTTTTACCAGCATTTCAAAGATAATTAAATGATATATGGCATGTGAAGTGTTTAGCACAGTGCCTGCTTCATAGTAAGCTCAATGAATCCTGGTTGTAGTTATTGTTAAAATTTCTCCCTGGGCTACAATGCAAAAAAAATAAAAAAGAAGATACTCTGCTTCTGCTCAACCATCCACTTAATTTCCCCTTACTCCATGAAACCCTTCATTCCTTCTGTTTTGAATTAACTCCAAAGTAACTGACAATTTGTACATACTAGAACCCAAACTGTTACAGTTGCTGAAATGGTACACAGAATTAAAGCACTACAAACTACAATTTTGTATAAAGGAACCATAGATGGAAAGAAATTAGTGTACTATGACAAATGCCACAAGACTGACAAGACTCAGGGCCTTATTAAAGCATTTGTTTCTAGGGCAAGGGTTCTGTCTGATTTACCTCGGTATCCCAGTGGCAAACACAATGGCTAGTATGTGCTAAGTGCACCCAGGCTTTTTTAGTGAGTGGATTCTAAAAATGGGTCGTATATCATCTTGGGATGTGGGAAGAGAGGAAATGTATACATTCTGGAAATTAACTGAACACATGTCTCAACCTGTTAGATTCTAGTTCAAATTAAGTGTGCACAGATTTACGAGAGTATGAATGAAGGCTTGGGATGAAGAAATGAACACTGTTTCTGAGTCCTTCAATAGACCATCTTACCTTAGGTTAGACTGAGTGGGCTCAGTGCTTGAGGATGGCTCAAGGCTGATTGGAAGGATCTTATCATTCTTGTTATGATCATATCTCTGGAAAGAAGAAAAAGGGAAATTATTTCACCTAAGCAAACCCCAGCTCTATACTGTAGTGTCTGGCTTCTGAAATTCCAAACCCCACAACGTATCATCAGCATATTTCCAGGCAACTTTAGGACTGCTTTACATTTAGAATTAATGCAAAACTCTACATAGCTTTGGCCTAAAAGCTATAAATTTAGAAAAACAAGTTGAGAAGAAGCTTCCCATCTAGTCATTAGTCCTCCTTATTGGACAGGGAAAGAATTTCAACTTTCAAATTCATAAATGGTACAATCACACAGCAGAACTGCCCTCTTACATTCTTATTTTAACTGTCACATACCACCTCTCACAATACTTACTTCACTGTATCCAAAATACTTTAAAATTTTGTTAGATTTTTGCAAAGTATCAAGCATAACAGTCAACTCTTAACAGGCCTGAGTAGAGAAGAAAGGTAGTAACAGACTTTCAGCCACTGATACAGGAGACATCTACAGTAAAAGAATAGTTTAATTTGCTGTCAGATAATTATATACTTCTTGTAAAAAGTTAATATAATATTAAAAAGCAATCAGGAGCCTCTGGCTAAAAAGATTTAAAGGGAAGAGAACCACGAGGCATAGAGACTCACAAATGGAAGGCAGGAATGAAGAACAACTTCTCTTCCCTATCTTTGTGATGAGTGCAGAACAAGAAAATGACAGCCAGTTTGGCAAATTAGACTTGATTTTGAGTAAAAAAGCATTTGGTAATTCCCCTTTTTGTTTCTGTTTTTAAGACAATGCATCCTAGAAATTGAGAAGACTATGTCGCCAGCTGAGATACCCCTTCGGATCCAACGTGTCTGAACTGTTTTTTCAGCTGGGACACTGAATTCAAATGTCTAATTTCTGTGACTCTCTACCGGGAAGATTGTTGGGTAGAGAGTCTCTGGTCAAAAGCCATGCTCCATCAGCTAAAGATTGGAGTTCCAATTTAACTGTCACAAATCTTTTTGCAGGCAGATCTGTCAAGACCCCACGGCAGAAGGAAACGAATCATCTCTTTGGACTGTTGCAGGCCACATACTTTACCATTTCTGTGCTGGCTATAACAGGATGCCATTCTTTTTTTTTTTAATGGTCTTAGCTTTTCCAGTACATTCTACCAAGAGACAAACTAAGAGATGAACAAGGCACTTTGCCACTTCTCAGGCCTTGGAGACAATACAGACATTGCAAAGTCCCACAAATAACTCTCAAAATCTCTGGAGTCATGAGATACCAGTGCTGTGAGCACTCCTACAAATTACCCATTTCTCAAGCTTTAAGAATAAACGTGTTCAAACTCACCACAGAACTGAGAGGCTGAGGAGTCTACTAATGCCTAAAGCAACTAATTTAAAAAATAAATACATTTTTCCTCCAAAGAACAACCCCCACCAAAAAAAAGATAAATAAAGGTCTGAGCATACACATCAGCCACATGGAAAAATCAATCAAAAACAGAATGTGTGGGTATGTGGAGAGAAACAATGAAGGAACTTAAACCCTCCTGAGATGTTTCTCAAAAGAAAAGCTGGCAACACACATGGTAAATACAAGTAGGAGACCATAGTATGGCTGTTCCAGATGTGAGGAGGCTGGGACGCAAGCGGGTAAGTTGGCAATGTCTTTCAGGCACCTCACTTAGGGTGGGCTCAGTGCTGTGTCTCCAGCCCATGACACTTACCTTTACTTGAGCATGTGCCCATCGTACCACCAGCTTTTTAGACAGAGCAAGCTTGCCATTGAGACACTGGATGGCTCGTTCTGCTTCCTGTCCAGGAAAGGGACTAACGTTAGTCAAAAATTCAAATGCCTAACTAGTTACATGTACTCTCGTAGGGCTTCACTAGCTTTGATGGCTGCATTTATAATCAAACTGCTTTTGATAAATAATTGGCAAAGCGTTTACAAAAACAAAAAAGGCAGAATAACAAACAGAGTATGCGTTTTGTAAAGTCGGTCAAACAACAACTCAAATCATGGCTCTGTCACTTACTGGCAGAGGAATGTTTGGCAGGTCACTCAATCCCTCTGAATGTTAGCTTTTTCACCTGTAAAATATGGATTAAAACTACCTGTTCCTCGCTGGTTGTTCGGAGGAGTCAAAGAGGCCATGTAAGGTGTGGAGGGCTTGGTAAGCACTCAGCCAACACCAGCTAACTGTTCGCAGGTGCTGCCTTTCTACACGCCTCTGTTGGTTAGGAGAGTCCCTGCTAGCCGAGAAACTCCCTGTGCTCCCCCTATGCCAAGAAAAGCCCCGGAGCTATATCCTGGTCTAGGGCTCACTCTCTGGATCCCAAGTGAGAAACAGTCATGGCCTCAAAGGATATGGGAGTGAAGGAAACTAGGCTGGAAAAAGCTGGCAGGAGTCAAAGAGACTGTGAGCAAGGCATTTGTGTGAGCCGATCTATGCACCTGGTTTTCAGAGCCAAAAGTTCCCTGACTCTTTCCCCATCAGATATAGGAGCAACAAGGTTGAAAGGAATTCCTGAAGCTTGATAATAGTCACTCTAGGACATTCCCAGGAAGCCTGGCCGTACTTTTCCATCCTGCCAAACCTTCTCTGCTCCATTTGTATCCGTGAGGCACTCAGCCAAGCGTAACCCACGTTTACTGGGGTTGAAGAAGCCCTAAGAAACAGGAAAAGGAACAAGGAGAGTCTATCTGAGACTGCAGCGTAATACCAGCAGGCATTCCAGGGTGGTTTTACTGGTGAGTCTCTCATTCCTCTGGAGCTTGCCAGCAGACATTCAACAATGTACCCACGGTGTGTTAGGCATTAGATAGTCACTGACATCCTTGCCTTACTATTGTGCACCAGGAAGGATAGATAAGTGACACTTTATTCTCCTTTTAAGTGTCATTTAGTGAACTGGCATTTGCATGGCACTCTGTTGATTCTGTAGCATCAGCAGTAATAAGATGCCAGCAGGAGATAAATGTTTTAAAATATAATTTCCTATCCCTGTACATTGTTTCAAAGTTCATGTATTCAACAATATTATTAAATGCCAGCTGTGTTTGCATCCATACCCTCATCTGTTCTCTCAACTTCCTGTAAGTTAGGGAGGGTATTTTTAGTCCCCATTTTTAGATGACAACTGAGGCCAAAAGAAGTTAAGAGACTTGCTTAAAGTAAATACATACAAGAACCAGAAAGCGAAGCAAGCCTTTGTGACTTTAAGCCTGGTATTTTTAAACCAACATCTATCATCAACATGATCATTGATTTTAACTGTCTATAAGAATCCTTATCACACCCTATCATTAAGGAAGAGTAAAGCTTTCAAAAATGCTAACTATATAGGACATTCTTTCAGTTCCCTCAAAAAAACTTGACCAATCAGAACAGCAATGTATCACTTTTTGTCTATCACATTTGCAAAAGAGGAAAAAAAAAAAGTCCCAGCATTAGTAAGGACAAATAACACTCTAATACTGGCTCAGAATATACTGATAACATCATTTCTTGAAGGCAATTTAGGAGTTGTATTATTTAAAGAAAACTTTGGGGGCAGGGGAGGGCTGGTAAAACAGATGAAGGGGAAAAAAAAGTGAGAATGTTTGATATTATTTTTCTAGACAGTGGTTACGTGACCGCACATACATGTTAAATGCATTGAGCTGTACACTAAGATTTGCACACTGTACTGTACATACCTCAATGAAAAAAACAAAACAAAAAATATGCGTGACCTTTGAAGACACCACTCCATTTCCATAAATGTAGTAAATACACACAGAGTTAGAACTAGATAGTCACAGTGCACTGTTCACACTTGTGAATAACTGTGGACAACCTAAATAGCTAATGATTGGGGATTAGTCAAACAACCTACCTGTGCAGATCATGGAATATTGTGTGGTCATCAAAAATGATGTTGATTAGTTTTTAAACTGAGAGCTAAGTTACATATAATAAAATGGGTAAGTATGAAATAAATAAATAGTTTTACATGTTTATATATCTACACAGGTGAAACCACAATATCATGATACAGAATGTTATCTTCACGTGTATTTGATGACAGAAAAATTTTAATATACTTCGAGTGGTAAACAGGTTAGTAAGATCTTAATCATCTGTTGTAAGCTGTACATGTGTTTGTGTGTGTATGTGTGCAGGAATGTGAAGAAAGAAGAGATGGGACAGATATACAACTAAATATTAATAGTGATTATTTCTGGGGAGTAGGCTGATAAGTGAAGTCACTTATTTACATTTTCATCTATAATTAACATGTAACTTCTGTAATAAGAAAAAGCATTCATATTATTATAAGTGAAACAAAAACCAGGCAATGTTCTCACATGTGACTAATAAAGCTATAGAGTACTAAGCGGCATCTCTATATTTAATACCAATCAAATGCAATTTCTTTATAAAGGCATGTCCACTCCAAGGACTAATTTTAATATAAGAAGATACATGTATATATCACCATTTAAGCTAACCATTCTCTTCCTCTATATATGTTGAAATTTGTATGCATTTATTCTGAGACATTGAGAAGGGTACATTTTCAAGAAGTCAAAATAAAAGAGAGTTTGTGGGTGGCTCACCACAGACAGGGAGGGCTTCTGCACCACGGGTAAAGCTACTGAAAGAAAAGGAGGCTTTGTTGGCCAGGCTCTGAGGGAACAACAAAATGGAACAGGGAGGAGAATGTCCACAAGCTTCATGTGGGCACCAAAGCATCTGATCAGAAAACTAGGTGAGCTGCCTTAGACCATAAGCCGAGGGAGGGTAGATTTTGAAAGCTGTTCGTGAATTCATTTGTTTACTGAGGCCCTCCTTTAGGTACACAGAGATGAATCAGACATGGCTCCTGCCCACAAGGACCTGCCGTTCTAGTAGTGGAGAGAGATGCAAATAATTCGGAGAGTGTGGTAAGCACCATGGAAGGGGAGACACTTGATTACCTGCTTAGTTTCAAAGTTAACAAAACAGTACCCTCGAGGCTGTCCTTCCAAAGCACCTGACTTGTGGAAGAGGAAGTCAAACTGCTTTACTGTGCCAAACTTCTGGAGGAGCTTGAGGAGGTGGTATCTGTAGAGAAAGAACAGCCCATGAGCATGCCCTGGGAATTCTGCTGGCCACTCGGCCTCAAGTGTGAGATAAAAGCAGGAGATAATTTACCCCAGGGATAAAGTCTTATGCCCCTGCCCCCTGCCTTCCTCCAAATTGCTGCATTCGTTTATTTGGCAAACAGAGTTGTTTGCATCTATTTGGAATGGGAACTAGAATTGTCATGGCTATGCATCTGTCCAGCACAACACCACCAAACAAAAAAACCACACCTAACAAACAGCTGTCTGGCCCACAAGCACCATTTGTTTTTTTCTTTGGAGAAAAGCTCAAAAATAGTGTCGATTTGTTTATTTTTAATTTCCTGGCAATGAAACAGTATTTGTGAATAACTACAACTCCATCAGCAACACACACCCACGCTCCAAAAGCCGAAGCCCACGCCCTCTCAAAAATAAAAGTAACAGAGACATACATAGTCGCACAAATAAAACAACCCTGGCAGGCTTCCCTGGTAGGTTTCAGAGTTGATTCATTAGCCCCAAATTGCACTTGTGAGAAACTCTGCCAAAAACCAAAACCACAGCTCGTGGCACTTCCACAGATGCTAGAGACCTCCAGTCCCTGATGGGACTGAACATGAGGACGGCGATGTGATGGAGGCTGGTCTCAGGCAGGGCAGGGGGGTGTAGCAGGTCTTAGAAATCATCCAGTTGTGGGTAACGAACCAACCTCAGTGGCTGTAACACAGTTAGTACTCTGGAGCATGGCTCCAGATAAAGAATATAGATGGCCAAGGAAGAAATTTATTCCTGGCAGGAGGTTCCCCCCAAGCTCTTGCTTGCCACTCTGCCTCTTATCCTCTTCTCAGATTCCTTTCTCTAAAACTTATTTGGTTTCTGTAGAGCTTTTAAGTTATTCAAACAGATGTGGCTTGAACAGGTTGCTGTGACCAATCTCAGTTCCGACTTCCTGTCATCTGATGTAAGGGTGAGACGAACCAACAACTCTCCTGCTTCCTTTTCCTCTGGCCTTCCTCCTGGCATCCTCTGCACTATTCAGATGGAGTCAAGGCTTTCTCTAAACAATGCTGTCCCTGTGATACTAAAAAGGTATCAGCTCACATGCTAAATCTGTTATTACTCGGAATTCTATCCCACAGGGAGTCAGTAAAGCTGTCGTTATAGCCACATTTATATTGACATTGTTTTCTAGCAGAAACTCATCAAGATTTTATTCTTGAGTAAGAACCTCCTTTGGGAGGCAGAAAGATATGAAATGGATCATAAGCTATATACACTAAATTTGATACTAATGCACACCAACAAGCAAGCCCATTATCCTGGATCAGGTGCCTGACAAGAGTGGAGCCAGGAAGACATAACGCAGGGCTGTACCCGGGCAGGATGCAAGGCTCCCAGGCATACTGTGGATGTTAATCTGGTCTTCAGACCTGTTCTGAAAGGGAAAACAACAAGTCCTGGTTTCCAAATTCTCAACTACCATCAGGAAACCCTGACTGCTGGTGGGAAAGCACGAGGTGATTCTTCAGGGGAGAGGGAGATACCTCAAGTGAAAATTCCTGGTTTTATTTGATATTTTACTTAGGCTTACAGCAAGGGCGAGTCTCGCAAATGCACAGACAGATGGGCTAGAAGTCTCCCAAGGGTCTTTAATTCACAGCTGCATCTTCCACTTACTATACCCATTCAAACCTTAATATTGTGCCAGTTGCCATGAATGGTGGGTCAAATCCATTTTTTAAAAAACAATCTAAGTGCTACTTTGGGCTGGTCATCTTTTCATTATCTAAGTGCTACTTTGGGCTGGTCATCTTTTCATTAGCTCCATTCTGCTTAATAGCAGGAAGGTAAGGCGATTGGCATTTCCTAGGAAATGAATTTTAATTTACTCAGGAAAAAAAATTGCCGACAGATTATTCTTTGAAAAGCTAACAAAGACATTCTGCCAGAGAAGTGTGACCTTAAGATTCCAGGAACATCTGCTTAGGTCTGTGTCTTTCAACTTCTCCAGGATTTCTTTTCTTGTTTGATAATTTCTTGAAATTATCGGAACACCGCAACAAAAGGAATGAAATGTTTACTATTTTGCTTCCTGGAGATGGGGACTGTAAGCTCTGATAGTGAAAGCCGCCTGAAGAATCTTGCTTTCACATCTGCAAGCACTTTCATCTGCTGCTGAAGTAGGAGAGCGCTCACTACTCATCAGAGCCTTGCTTCACTTAATGAAATGTGGGCCCCACAAGCCTTCAGGAGCTAGAGAATAAGCATCCCCATCCCATACATATTTCTGCAACTTAATCACTGTTTTCTGCAATGGGTCTTTAAAATGTCCTTCCTGCCTAATGGCACAGACAGAATTAATCCATACAAACATTAAAGAAACCCCTAGTAGGTGTCAAGAACTATAGTAGGCCCTTGGACTTCCCAGATGAATACAATTAGGTCCTGCCTTCAAGGACCTCACATTCTGCTTACAGAAGATAAGTAATCAATACATTACAAAACACTATACTTGTGCAAAGAGGTATGTACACGAGTGCCCAGATGCAGAGGCCAACTGTGCAGGTAGGTGGTGCTTAATAAACACTAGGTGAAGAGTCTGACCCATTGGAAGTGAGTGGGGGTGGGCAGCAGAGCTGAGGATGAGGGCTTAGGTTGTGAAGGATGTTGGCGTGTTTAGTGAGGGGACTGTACTCTGATGCTGTAGATAATGGGAAGCCTAAGAAATGACTTTAAAGATTGTTTACAGTGCACAATTTGTTTTAGAGAAAAAGTTTCTTTATAAGCCTATAAAAATTATGTGGTGAGCCCTTATGTTCTGTTTTGTATGTTATTAAATGGCCTTACTGTGTTTCTAATTTAACAGCTAAGCTAACAGTCAAGGCTGTTTCACACAAACCAAGGCCTTAAAAGAAAGAAGCATGGGCCACAAAGGAAAAATAAGGAATTGGCTGAGAGAGAAACTGGGGTCTCACCAGGGATGCACATTGTTCTCACGTGCTCATGCATTTCATTGTCCTTGAACTCTAATTTATCCCTGAAAGTCTGCATCAGGACATTTCCACCCAGACAGTTCTCCAACTGCTTTTAACTTTACTTAATACTGACCACCTCCCCTCCATAAACTGCTGCCCCCTTCCAGCTGGCCCACCAGTCGGCACGGACATGATCGTTTTACGTTTCTTAGGGCAAGGAATGTTAGGATCATCTTCAGCTCTCCACTCCTTGTCAGGCACTTTCTCCATCTCTCAGACTCACCTACTAGTTTCCAAGTTCATGGCTTCTGTCTAGGTGATATGAACGGCAGGTCTGGTTTATGGCAGTCTCTGCTAGCTAATGTTCACCTTCCACCTGTGCCCTTCCAATTCACCCTACGTACTGGTGTCTAATTTCCCCACTGAAACACCACCGTCATGATGTCAGTCTCCTGTGAAACACCACACTGAGTCTCTTCTACAAGAAATTCAAACCTCTTGCCTGAGTGAGTCTTAAAGACCCTGTATTAATCTGATAGTATTCTCTCTATCCAACTACTGTTTTCATTATCACTTAGTATTCAACTCCTCTTTCAGTCAAAAAGGTTTTCCTGATATTCTTCTGTTCACATGTTAACAATTTTACCTACTTATATATACTTTACCTGTGAGTCACCCTCCACTTAGAATGCTTCTTCTTTTAGAATTTTCACTGGTTTTGTTTCCTCTCATACTTCTCCCTAAGCATAATGCGTTGGCTATTAGTTCAGCTTCCTAAACAGCTCACTTAATATGTGAAAAGGAGCACATTTAATATTTGAAAAGGAAAGCCAGTATTAACCCTTTTAGAGGAAACTACAGTGTGGAAAATAGATAACGTCTAAGGACATTAATTTTTTCAGTTTCTCTGTTAGAAGCACTATTGATGTTATTTAGAGGTATTGTTTTTACCCTGTCAGTTGGATTGGGTCCCAAAATAATGTAAAAGAAGTCCTAACATTTTACAGTTTAGAATAAGATACTTTAATTTACGATTGCTCAATTATGTGAACTCAGAATATTTGTGCAAAGAGCACTAAATTAGGTGGTGAGAAATTAGTCTTATCATTAACTACTTCAGTAAAGGGAGTGAACTCACTTAATTCTTTTCCTATAAAACAGGGAAGTATTATCTGTTTCACTTGCCTCAGGTTATTATGAGTTTAAATAAAAGGAACTAATGCAACAGAGCTAGAAGAAACCTTCAGATCACTCAGATGAACATTCTTACTTGAGAGGTAAGAAATATGAGGTACAACATACTTGGGAGAAATCAGAATATAGTAGAAAGAGCATGGGTTTGGAATCTGCTACCTCTGTAAATAAGAGTATGCCATCATTCCCTTAAATATAAATCTCTATGACCTCATATTTGGTGGTATAGATATTCCTGGCACCTAGTAAAGCCACAAAATGGTCATTATTGTAACCACAAAGTGAACATAAATAAACAAGAAACAATATCAGCATGCTAGACTGTCAGTTAGCAATACATACTCTGTGCAGAGGAGGCTGATAAAAGGGCTTCCTCCTATAACTTGAGCAGGACTAAGGCTAGTAACTAAAAAGGACACAACATGTATATACTTTACCTGTGAGTCACCCTCCACTTAGAATGCTTCTTCTTTTAGAATTTTCACTGGTTTTGTTTCCTCTCATACTTCTCCCTAAGCATAATGCGTTGGCTATTAGTTCAGCTTCCTAAACAGCTCACTTAATATGTGAAAAGGAGCACATTTAATATTTGAAAAGGAAAGCCAGTATTAACCCTTTTAGAGGAAACTACAGTGTGGAAAATAGATAACGTCTAAGGACATTAATTTTTTCAGTTTCTCTGTTAGAAGCACTATTGATGTTATTTAGAGGTATTGTTTTTACCCTGTCAGTTGGATTGGGTCCCAAAATAATGTAAAAGAAGTCCTAACATTTTACAGTTTAGAATAAGATACTTTAATTTACGATTGCTCAATTATGTGAACTCAGAATATTTGTGCAAAGAGCACTAAATTAGGTGGTGAGAAATTAGTCTTATCATTAACTACTTCAGTAAAGGGAGTGAACTCACTTAATTCTTTTCCTATAAAACAGGGAAGTATTATCTGTTTCACTTGCCTCAGGTTATTATGAGTTTAAATAAAAGGAACTAATGCAACAGAGCTAGAAGAAACCTTCAGATCACTCAGATGAACATTCTTACTTGAGAGGTAAGAAATATGAGGTACAACATACTTGGGAGAAATCAGAATATAGTAGAAAGAGCATGGGTTTGGAATCTGCTACCTCTGTAAATAAGAGTATGCCATCATTCCCTTAAATATAAATCTCTATGACCTCATATTTGGTGGTATAGATATTCCTGGCACCTAGTAAAGCCACAAAATGGTCATTATTGTAACCACAAAGTGAACATAAATAAACAAGAAACAATATCAGCATGCTAGACTGTCAGTTAGCAATACATACTCTGTGCAGAGGAGGCTGATAAAAGGGCTTCCTCCTATAACTTGAGCAGGACTAAGGCTAGTAACTAAAAAGGACACAACATGGAATGACTAGAATTAATTACAAGATAAACTCTGAAAAATTGAGTGGAAAAGTACTGCTGTTTTACATACCTTTGTAATCATTCATAACAGTAAATTACTATAAACTGACTTTTAACAAGAGGTGAGAGAGCATTGCATACAAGAGGCATTCAAATCAGTTTATGAGACACATCAGGAAGGGGGGTGGTAAAAAGTAGGGAAATGTACTGGAGAGAAAAGAAAGGTGCATTAAAGGGGGAAACAGTAGGAACCAACAGCAATATGTGGGTGGGGGGGGGTCAGCTTAATTACGAAAGCTGGAGAGTGGTCTGCAGACTTTTGTCAAGAGTCTCTAGAAGTTGAGAGATTCGGATTTAAAGGATGCTTTCTGAGACTGGACTACAAGCTGGGTACCACATGTTCACACAAGTAACAACATGTAATCCTACAATGTTTGGAAATGAAATGAATGTATTTTAATCATTAGTCTAGGCCCATTGTTACCTACCTTGAGGGAAAAGGATCCAGATGTTTATGTACTGGAAAAAACTTGGAAGGAAATCACTTATTTCCACAAGATAAGACCTACCTTACTGAAATGATAGGTGTCTTTGCTGTAATTAAGTAAATGAAAGGCAATATGAGGCATTTAATGCTAACTATAAGCTATGATCAGCAATTGTATCTTTAAAAAATTTATTATTTAATAGATCAGGTTGTTTGGTGGAGAAAATGTTTTAAGATAAGGAATCCATAAAAGAAAAAACAGTACAAATGATCTCTAGTTATACAGTGGTAGGTCACAGGTAGAGCCAGCAAGGCCCTGATTGGCTGGTTAGTACTTGATGCCCGCCTCTGGCCTGATGTAAAAAGAGCATATACACCAGCGGGAAAATTTTGATTCAATGTTCCTATTAATGCTCTAACTGAAGAAAACATTCAGACGCTCCCACTTATGACAAGCTGAGGTGGCAGAAGCCCACTTGAACCTTCTGTCAAGCAGCAGGACACAATTAAAACAAGGGTTTCATTACAGTGAAGTGCATCCAAAACAATGATCAACAGACATTAGTGAAAGGTTGGGCAGACTCTCACATTTAACCCCAAACCCATGAGTAAAGACAGCTAAAACAAAGGCACAGCCTATATTCCAGGGCCCCCATGACCAAGGTGACTGAACATAGGGGCAACACATCTTAAATACCACCATCCTATCTAGAGGGACCCAAAGGTATCTATATTTACCTGATCTGAGCTTGAGCACGTTAAGGAACTGAACTTTCTGTCATGATGGGAATCCATTAGTTTACGTCTATTTCCTCTCTTGTAATCCCAGCCCATATACACAGCTCCTCTCATCCCAGACTCAAACAAGGCTTCCCTTGCCTCCTCTACTTTTACCTTTAACACTATTCCAAAGAGAGTTAATTTCTAGGACTGATGATACACTCCATGCTTGTCAAGCACTGATCTGTAGAGCCCACTCTGCTCACTCTTTATTATCCTGCCACAAATACTCACCCTGCTCCTAATAAACACCTGGGAAAAGGAAAAACCTCTTAATTCACTGCTAAAAAACTGCTTTCCACTACAGTGGCCATAATAGAAAAAGTGGGGAGTCAGGACAATTCAATTAGTCAGATTTCACGACCATGGGCAAGCTAATTTCTGCCTCTTAGGCCTCAGTTTCCTCTACTGTAGGATAAGAGAGCTGGATCATGTAAGTTTTCATGTGTGAAGCCCCGTAATTGATTGCCAAAAGGCTCTGGGTGCCCCATGAATCACTTTAAATAGAACACTTCTGAGTTTTTATTTTATATATAGGTTTTGACGATCTTATGACAAGGTTCCTCAGATTTAAAAAGTTTGAACAGTGCTTAGCATGACACTTGGTAGACAGTGGGCACTCTAATCATTTAATGAATGAATGAAAACTACAGGGACTGCGGTGATCAATCTCTAAGACCCCTTCCAGCTCTGACCTACAGTTCCACGGTGGCTTAACATGAATTATAGTCAAGTGGTAACCTCTCTGTTTTTTTACTTTTATTATTATTATTGTTTTTTTATATTGAGGTACATACAATGCACATATTTTAGCATACAGCTTGATGAATTCTGACATGTGCATACACTCATGTTAACCATTGCCCATATTGGATAACAAACATTCTCACTAATTCTTTCCCTCTTCACCTATTTTACCCATCCCCTTACTGTTTGTGAAGGTACTGAATATTCTGCTTGTTCCTTCTTTTATAGGACCACAGTATGCCCAAGACTGATTACAGAAAATAATTTCCTACAGTCCCTGGTACAAGGTTTCAAATAGTTGAAAACAGGAGAACATCTTTGGAAGTGGAAAAGAGAAGTATATGAGTTTAAAGGATACCCATGTCTGTGGCCTTGCAGAAGAGTTCAAACTTAAGAAAAATGTCAAGGTAACAATTTAATAACATCACATACCCTTCAAACACAATTAAAACATAATAAAAGGGACAAAATATATCCTACATCCTTTAAAAAAACTCTTGTGAACACATCACTGGAAACATCTCAATTCTGTAGGTAATGAATTAAGATGGCTTAGACTTACTCTGTGATCTTGGGGTCCAGGTTGCCAATCCATAACCGGTGCCCTTCTTGTAGGGAACCCTCTGAAAGGATGGACGCGTTCTCCAGGGGAAGAGTTTTGGTTTCTCCTTCCATCAATCTTTATGAAATACTACAGGAAATGTGAACATTCAGGCAGGAAAGGAGCAATACTGTGTGAACATGAAACTTTATATTCAACTCAACATTTATTCAAGGCATGACCTGGGATGTCCTTCATAGCCTGAGTTACTTCACACCCAGGGCCCCAGCACCAGTTCCCTGGGGACAGCACCTCTGGCAGTGCGCATAAAAGCCTCCATTTAAGGTGAAAGGGGCATTGGTCTGTGTGTAGAAACTAGAAGTTTTCCTCTTCTGAAGCCAGAGGCTGACTGGGCAGGAGGCCCAAGTCTCTGTTATTACATGATACCCCAGTTCAAAAACTGTGACCCAAAATAAGTCTTAGAAACCACTAGAAAAGAGTCTTAATAGCAGCAGCACATCCCTTCCTCATGAAAAAGTACAGGAAATTTTAGGCCACCATCTCAACACAGCCTATAAAGTCTGGCACACGGTAGATCCTAGCTAATTGTTTGGTGAACATGTTTATATCCCCCTGCACACAACTGTATTCATCTTCCTTTCCAACTTGAGTGTTCAATCTGTCCAGCAATGGATGACAAGCAACTAATAACTGCCAAACTAGGGACTATATGCTGAAAACAGAGAAATGAATAAGCCATAGTCCTTGCTCTTACCTCCTGAGAAAGAGGAGAAACAGACATAAACAGAATCCTGAGAGTGGAAACAGAGGAGGAGAAACACTGAGTCTTCTCCCCTCTTTCCTTCCCTCCTTTTCTACAGATTAATCGTTCATTCAAATAACAACAAAAATTACTAGAGCTTCCATTTTCTAGGAATCATCTAGGTACTGGGGACAGAAAAGTGAACAAGCAAGGTCTCTACCTTCAGGATGCTTATATTTGGAAGTGGAAGAAGGGGGGGTCAAAACAAAAGCAAAATAAACAAACAAGATATAATCAGTGACAAGTGCTACAAACACAATTGGGCAAGGTGTTTTGGCCTGGAGACTGGGGTTGTACTACTTTAGAATTAGTGGAAAGGGAAGGCCTCTCTAAAGAAGATGGCATTTGAAACAGACTGGAATGATGGGAACTCCTGGTTTTCTCATGTCTAAAGACAGCAGTAACATCAATAGCTACTTAATATCACAGGAGGGTACCATGTTTCAGTGGCAAGAGTGTGGGATATGGGGACAAAAGATCTGTATTCAAATCCTAGCTTTTGCATGCAGTTACTGTGTAGCTTAAGCAAGTCATGATCCCCCTCTTAACAGTCCTCTCCTCCAGAAAGCTTTATTTCATAGTGCAGAACTCTTTGCTGGTCTCTACCACAGCCACCTTTTCTTTCCATACAATGTTAATTCAATGTTATTTAGTATCTTATCTTACTGTTTCACTCATTACAGTGTAAGCTCCTAGAGGGCAGGGCCTTGACTATCTTGATCAGGATTCTATCTCCAGCACTCAGTACACTGCCTGGCTTATGGCTTATGTGCTCAGTGTTTACTGAATGAATGAATGAATGAAGTAAGGCACTTCTCCACTTGAAGCTTCAGTTTCTTCTTCCTTCCTAGAATGGGCACAATCATTCCTGTCTCATGCATCGCTGTGAGGCTTAAATGAGACAGTATCTGTGACAGCTCAAAACAGGGCTTTTTGAGGAACGGTATGTTTAAGGATCAATATGGCACGAGACTATCAAAATCCTTTGGGTTTGCAATGGCGACAACCCCTCAGATTAAGAGTTTACAAAACGCTTTCTACGTCTATCCTCCCAGCTGATCTGCAGCCACCTTGGAAGCCATGAATAGTCGTTTCGGAAAACTAATATCCAGAGAAGCAAAGGCACTTTGTTCCTTAAAGCTAACGGTAACGGCAGGGTCAAGCCTGGACCCCCGGCTTCCCGATTCCGGGCCGCGAATTCCCAGATGCGAGGGGGTCATTCCTGGATTGCTATTTCCGGGCTAGCGGCGGGACAATCCGGGGCGGGGCCGGAGACACAGTCGAGCTAGGGCAGCATCCTCTCACCCCCTCGCGGGGCGCCGACGTGCAGGGCACGTCGCGGCCGGACTCACCTCGTGGGCTCGGCGTCGTCCCCTCGGCTCATGCCCCCACAGCAGGTCGCAACTCCCCGACCCCACGGCGCTGCAGACGCCACCACCCCAACACCGCCTGCTCCCAGGCCGCCGGTGACGCGCTACCCGTGCGCCGCAGCACCGCCCCGTAACGTCATGACGCCTGCGCCGCCGCCGTCGACGCGGTCGCACGAATCTTTTCCCAGTAACCTGGGCGTTAGCTGGTGAGTGGCCTTGGCGTGGCCTGGAGGCGCGCGTGGGCTCCGGGTGCCAGAGACCTCTACTCGAGGACCTCTGGGGGACCTTGGGGAGTCTGACCACTGTCCTCCGACCCGTTCCGTTTGAGTCCGGCTTGACCTTTAAGGCCGGGGGTGAGACCAGTCCCATCTGGGAAGGTCTCACAAGGTTTTAAGGGCCTCGCTCATCAGCTAGGAATTTAGGGGAGGGCGTGGGGCTTACTGAATAGTAGGCGCTGTTAGCCCAGTACCTGGCAGGAATATTTACTTTTCAGAACAGTTCGACTCTGGAGTAGGTGTTATTTTCCCCCATGATGAAGAAATGGAAGCTCAGGGAAATTGCTACCAGGGTCACGCGGCTAGTAAGGTGATGGAACTTAAATTCCAAAGCTTCAGCTCCGACCATTACTTTGTGCCGCCCAGTGGCGAACAGTTGCCTTTTCATTAGTTCACTGTTTACCAAAACCCTCTTTATTTCTGCAGACCTTATCTCATTAGGTCATCCTGGTAGCTCTGACATTTTACAGGTGAGATTGAGGTCCAGAGAGTTTAATCTGTCCAAGGTCGCGTACCTGGGAAGTGCTGGAACCAGGACTTTCCCATCTCTAAGTCTGGTGCCTTTTTTCCTTTCACCACACTCTATTGCATTTCCCAGAATCTTGGGGAGCTTTATAGTTGGAAAGAATGAAAACCTGGTCTGACCCTTCATTTTATAGTTGAGGTACACAACCTACGTAGGAGAAATGACTTGATAACAAGTCACAAGTCAGTGGCAGAGCTGCCACAAATGCCTTTTGAGTACAGAGTGGTTGCAAATCTAAAGAGGGTGAAGGTAGGGAATGATGTGAGAGGATATTGGAATCCAGACCTGGCTCTCAGGTGAAAACTACACCTGTTAAAGTGTCTCATCCTCTGGCTATTCCAGGGACATGATTTACATGGCACTGAATTAAGAGAAGAACATGCCCTACTATCTATAAGTGAAAATCTGGCCAGCCAAGGGATTATGGAAGCAGTGTTGGGCAATAGAGCCCAGGGCCTTCTGTCTGAGGCTTAGATTCCAATTCTGGTGCCAGCATTGTGACCTTGGGTAAGGATTTAATCATTTTGGACTTTCATTCGTGTGTTCATCACCTTTATTTGGTGTGTTCTGGGCACTACAGTGAACCAGACAACAACAGACCAGTCCTTGTACTGCTTATAGTCTTATGAAGGGAACTGAACAATGATTGGATAGCTACACACATATTAACTGATATTGTTAAAGTAACTGCTATGAAAAAGGTACAGGGTGTTATGAAAGTGGGCTACAGGCCATTTGACCTAGTTGGGGCTAGAAGAGATGGCCAAGGAAGGCGTCCTCTGAGGAAGTGATGCTTAAGCTGAAATCTGACAGAAAAATGGGAGACAGTTCACTAAGAAGATGGGGGAAGATGATTCCAAGTAGATTCAACAGTATTTTTGAAGACCCTGGAGCAGGAGTACCCAAGGAAATGAAAGATCAGTTTGCTTATTTGTAAAATGTGGGTACTAATTCCAGCGTTTATTGTGAGAATCAAATGTGCTCAAGTATTTTATATCCAAGGGCCTGTGTGTGTGTACATCCACATTTATGAAAATGTATATATTATAAGCTAATATGCAGCTGGATTGGGAGGGATTGCTGGGACAGTAGATAAGCTAGGACTTTGTGTTCCTCATCTAGTTTTTTCCAAAATTAAAATGCACCTTCTATGAAAAGCAGAGAAATACAAGTTTTGAGAAACTCTACTTTGGAAAAAGAATGTGTGCTTCAAGTAGTTTTTAAAAAATTTGAATAACAATGCCAGTAATTGTACTGTGTTTTATGTGCACAGTACAGTTAATATAGTGTTAAGAGCACAGACGAGCTAGATTGCCTAAAATCAAATCTTGGGCAAATTATCTGCATTTTTGTTTCTTCATCTGTAAAATGGATATAATGATGGTACTTTGTCTCACAGTTGTATCACGAGGCTCAAATAACTTAATGTATGCAGTATAGCTCTTAGAATTATTTTTGGCACATCGTTATTTCTATAAGTGTTAGTAATTGTTTCATTATTATTTTTATAATTATCTTTTTAAAGGCTCATTAATAACACCATGATAAAGATGTGGTGGAAACTAGCTCAGAGAGGCTAAGTGATCTTCCCAAGGTTACACAGCTAGTGTGGGAATTGAGATTCCAGTTCAAGTCTGCATCCAAAGCTCAAATACTTCCTGACACGTTTTTGTTTTGAGTACAGATTAATTTTGTTGGATAATACTTGGGCTTCCATCACAGTTCCTTTTCTTGACTTCTCTGCTGAACTGAGTATTAATATGCATGTCCTTAAGATAAAGGGTCCAAGCAACTGCTTTTATTGAAATTCCACTTTGCAATTTCCTGACTTACTTGCAATTAAAATCTATGCTTTAAACATTTCAGCAATGTGGTTTATTTATAGAGTTGTCTTCCTGTTCACGTGTACTGGGTCTGCTTTTGGGTGCTGCGTTTTCTGTCAAAGGTTGTTTATTTCTAACCCATTTTGATTTCCTGTTGCTTTGTGGATTGGTATTATGAACTGCAACAGGAACACCAGGAAACCTGTCTTGAATGGAGCAGCCAGATTGAGGCCCTGTAGATTAAAAAAAAAGTAAACCACACATTATTCTACAGCCATATTTGGACTGAAGTGTGGGTTAAGCATTAGCTATATTAGAAAAGCCTAGATATAGAAACCTCACTTAGAGCCAAACTTTCATGAACAGTTTTGCTGAAACAGGGCAGAGCTATTAACTCCATGGCCTTGGACAGTGACAGCCTCATTGAGCCTCAGTTTCTGTATCTGTAAAATAGAGATTATTGTATTTTCTTTGTGGCATTATTGATAAGATTAAATAAAGTAATATGGATAAAGCAAGCAGTCCCAGGCTTGATCTCAATTAATAATAGCTATTGATAATAATTTAAAAAGAGGAAAAACTATTACTTCATTTTTTAAAAATCCAGATCTGTTTTTACTGACTTGAGACGCTGATTTCTGGCATCTAGCATCACTTACTATTAAAAATTCCATCAAGAGAAATTTGCTTTTCTTTCAAGAAATAATGATAGTGATAGCCAGCAGTGTGAAGCAGGTACTGTATTCCTGGACCTGTGCTAGTTGTTTTATATGCATTCACTATCTCATTTTATGTTAAGATGAGGATTTTCTCATTTTGCAGATAAGGAAAGTGATGCCCGGAAAGGTGGAGTGAATTTAATTGCTCAAAATTGATGTGACTGACTCTAGGCTATCTTGTACATCAGTAATGACATGCAAGAGTTCTTTACTGTGTCTGATCCTGGCACTTTCCTGAAAGTCTTTAGAAGGAAAGGTGATAGCTATAAGTGGAGCCCCATTTGGAGGCTCCAGCTGTGTGCTAGATGTTATGCCAAGTATTTTACTTGCATAAACTCATTGATTTTCCCAACCCTAAGAAATACAAGTATCCCCATTTTACAGTTGAGAAAATCAAGGTACAGAGATACTCAGTGGCATTTAGTCAGTGAAGGAGCTGGGATTGGATTCCAAGTCTTCCTGACTGGAAAGCCCATGCTCTTAGTCAGCCTATTATACTGCATCAACATTTTAGGATGAGATTTTTTTAGAAATGAGGTATGGGGTTGATTTTCAAAGGTAGTAACTTCCAGGTATTTGATGCTAGTTGTTCTTAATTTCAACTGAGTGATAGCCAGATTTCTGGCAGAAGCTGTTAATGCTGCATTTGTCAGTAAGCTAGGACTGCATTCTATCCCAGAGGTAACTTTAGGTTCTAGTAGCATCTTTCCATGGTCAAAGATTTCAGAAGTATAGTGTGTAAACTATTAACACAGAGGAGGGTGGCATTTTCCAGAGCTTTAGTTCTATAACATGGAAGACCTCAAACCTCAACCATGCTTCAAACTCACATTAAAGTGCATTCTAATTGGTAATCAGTGTATGAGGAACCAAAGAAAATTTTAATTAAATGCTGTCTTGTGAATTTTCCAGTCATTTTATGCCTGTTGAAATGGTTTTCTTACTTGGTTGAAATGGTTTCAAGTCCTCTTCCATTGCTCTGCCCCTTCTTTATAGTATAACTTCATCAAGATTTTATGCCTTTTCTCATATAAGGTTTTAATTAGCATTGTTAAAGATTTTGGCTGGTGCATATTTACTTAACTCTGTGTTCCCTGTGTACCAAAGGCATTTGGTGCAGTGGAAAGAGCACGGCAATTTGGAGTCCTACAGACTGTGGGCAAGTTACTTAAATCTCTGTGAGCCCCAGTTTCTTCATCCTGTAAAATGGGGCTAATCACATTTCTTTGTACTGCTTTTGAAGGAGGATTAGAAATAATGTATTTAAATTGTCTAGCACATAGGTCAGTTTGTAGGAATTACTTGTTAATTGGTACAAATTATGTTCTGAAGTTGTAATAGAGTCCGTCTTATGTAGATCTCCTTTTTGTCTTATTCTCTTTAGTGGATGTTCACAAGGATTGTCTTCAGTCATGGCCTTGGGTTTAAGGTGCTTCCGCTTGGTCCACCCTGCCTTTTGCAACTCCCTTGCTGCCTTGACCAGACCTATTTCAGAAGTTACGCTGAGGGCAGAGAGTGGGAGACAGAATGGCCGTGGGCAGTACATGGCCTATCCAGCTGTACCAGTCCGTCATTTTGCTACCAAGAAAGCCAAAGGTAAAGACATGACCTTCTCACTTCTTTCTTCACTTTAGCCCTTGAGTCATCATCGCTGGAAGAGAACTCAGAGAGGTACTGAATTTCTTCCCTTGCCACATGAGGAAATGGTGTTTCAGATTGTTCACTTGATTAGCTTAAAAGATCACAGTGACAGAGGTGGTTTTAAAACCTGGAGTGTGTTTTTCTCTTTACCATGCTGTCTCATGTGTTACTATGGCTCAGAAAATGCTTAATTTCCTTCTTTTAGATTTAGAATTAGAGCTGTAAGTGCCAAGTAAACCAGAATGCTTGTGGCAGGAATCAACGTATTTTCTCCTCATAGATCCAGCAAGATCTATGTTGGAAGCAAAATTGAAACCAGGTTGTTGGATGAGGAGGTATTAGAGCCATGGAGTTAGATGGATGATCTTAATGGTTTGTGTCATCCAAGAATGAGACTTTGATACACCGCAGGTCTCAGCTTAAATGTCGCTTCCTCAGGGAGGCCTTCTCTGACCTCTTAGACTGGTCAGGTCCCTTGTTACATGCACTCCTGTGCACTGTTATTTTACCTTTGACGTACTTAGCACAGCACTCATTAATTAATTAACTGTAGGATTTATTGTTATATGACTTCCATGAGGATAGGGTCCGTGTCTTTCTTGTTTAGCACCTAACAGGCCTAACACATAGTATGTATCAAAAAATTTTGTTGAGTGACTGAATGAGTAACAGAAAATTTTGTTGAGTGGCTTAATGAGTTAAACAGACCTGCTATTTGTGGTGGTGAGGCAGGGAGTCCATTCCTAAGGATGGTGCTAGAAATATGCTGCTAAATGTTTTTTCTACTGACTTTCTTTTTATGGTTTCATGCAGAACATCCCTTTTCTATTAAAAGGAAAATTAGCAGGTTGCTGAAAGAGCGTTAATACTAAGAAGATTTATATTCTGTTAATAGTGATAATAGTAACAACTGTAGATCTATATATTGCATTACATTTTTTAAAAAATTCACATTCACTTCATAATTTGATCCTTATAGTTATCTCTTGAAGGAATTACAATTATCCAGTGAAGAAATTCTTAGTTACCTTGTGAAACACAGATCTCACCATTTTGCAAGTAAAGAAACTGAGGTTTGCTCATGGTCATACCTGGTTAGTTAGCAGAACTGGAAATGGGGGCTCCTAATGCCCACAGCATTGCAGTCTTCTAGTACACTAGCCATTAGCGACAGCATGTAAGCAGCATCTTTTCATATTTAATTGGCTGTTCAGTTTTTGTCTTCTTTGATTACCTCTAAAAAGGTCAGTTGACTTTTTCTTTTAGATTTATTGGATTCTTTCTATACTAGGAATGTTAATCCTTTGTTGATTGTGTTACAGGTATCTGCTTCCTACTTAACGGTATCTTTGGTTGAACATAAGTTTCAACGTAGTCATATTTTTCAGTCCTTTATCATTTGTGCTCTTTTGTGTCTTATATGGGAAATCCTTACCTATCCCTAGGTCATAAAACTTTTCTTCTGAATTTTCTTCTAAATATTTTAAAGGTTTTTACTTTTCGTATTTGCTTTTTTAATCCATGTGGAATTTATTTCTGAATATGATGTGAGGTAGGGAATCTAATTTTAAGTTTCTTTTTTTATATGGGTAATAAGCTGTGTGAACACCACTTATTAATTAGCTCATTCTTTAATCCCAGATTTGTTCTGTCTCCTCTGTCATATGTCAAGTTTCTTTGTATGTGTGATTTTGCTTCTGAGCTCTTGATTTTGTTGAAGTGTTTATCTCTCCCTGCAGTAAATTCCCTTCTGCCTGAATCACTGTCATAAAGTCTTGAATCTAGGGGTGCAAATATTTCTATTAACACACACACACTTTTGCTTCTTGCCTTTTGCTCTTCTGTATGAAATTTATAATCATATTACCAGGTTTTTGCCATGAAGATCTTGCACAGTTCTTTAGTCAGGTTTATTTCTGGTGTGTCATCATTTTTGTCACTTTTCATACATTTTTTAAAGTAAATTTTTTGAGTTATAACATACATAAAGGAAAGTACCTACATAAATTCTAAGTGTACATACAGTTCAGTGAATTTTCACAAACTGAACATAACACATAACATGTGACCGTCACCCAGCTCAAGATACAGAACATGAATTGTATTCCAGAAGCTTCCCTCTTGTCCCTTTCAGTTATCACCCTTCAAAGGGTAACCATTATATTGACTTTAACACCAAAGATTAGTTTTGCAATTTTTGAACTAGTATAGCTTCTTTTGTGCCTGACTTCTTTTGATAACAATCTAGTTGTGAGATTTGTTCATGCTGTTGCATGTAGTAGTTGTTTGTGCATTTTTATTTCTTTATGGTATTCTGGTGAAGACATATGCCACAATTTATGTGTGGACATTTGGGTTGCTTCCAGTTTTGAGCTGAAATAATGCTGCTGTGAACGTTCCTGTACATGTATTTTGGTGCCCATATGTGTCCCGGCCCGCGGTTTTGTTGAGTATATACAGAGAGGGATTTACTGAGTGTTTGGGTATCCATATATTCAACTTCAATACATACAGTTCTCCAAAACAGTCATGCCAGTTTACACTCCCACCAGATATGTTAGCTTTCTGTTTATACCACATCTTGGTATACTCAATCTTTTTTTTTATTGAAATATAGTTGATACACAATCTTATGTTGGTTTCAGATGTACAACACAGTAGTCCAACAGTTACCCACATTATCAAATCCTCACCTCCTCTACTGTGGTTACTACCTATCAATGTAGAAAGATGTAATAAAATCACTGTATAGTCAGTCTTTTTAATTCTAGCCATTCTGATGGGTATGCAGTAATACCTCTTTGTGGTTTTCATTTGTATTTCCTTGATGAATAATGATGGTCAGCACTTCTTCATTTATTTGCTATTTAGATATCTTCTTGCCCATTAAAAAAACTGCTTTGTAGGAGTTTTAATATATTCTATAGACAGGACTTAAGTCTTATATATGAATTGTTAATATGCTTGCCTTTTCATTCTTTAATGAGTGTTTTTTGATGAACAGAAGTTCTTAATTTTAATGTAATCCAATTTATCCTTTAGTCAGTCATATCCTGTAGTCCAATTTATTAATCATATCCTTTATGGAAGTCCTGATTTTTTTTCTTATTTAAGAAATTTTTCCCCACCTTAAGGTTATGAATATATTTTACTGTATCTTTAGAAGGTTTGTTGTTTTAAATGTATACCTTTTTAAAAAGTGTGTATTCTTTGTGGTTGCTGGTGAACAGGAACATTTTTTATTATTATACATTGATTTTGTATCTTGGACTCTGCTGAATTCTTTTATTAGATCTATTGTTTGTATATTCTTTTGTATTTTCTAGGTAGATAATTATAACACCTGTAAATAATGATAGCATTGTTTTTCCCTTTCCAATCTGTATACCTTTTTTCCTTTTTCCCCCCTTCTTCCCTCCTTCCTTCCTTCCTTCATGGCTAGGAACTCTCATGGAAGTTGAATAAGTGTGATTGATGATAGCAGGTGTCCTTGTTATGCTTCTGACTTTGTGGGGAACACTTCTCATATGTTAACATCAAGAATTATGTCTGCTTTATTTTTCAGTAGTTTTCTCTTTTAAGAAAATATCTTCTATCCCTATTGTGCTGAGAGGTTTTGTTTTGAATGGGTGTTAAATTTTAATCAAATGTTACTGCATTTATTGAAATAATCATTTTTTTATTTTAATTTGTTAACGTGACCACTCAACATCGATAGTTTTTTCTGATAAACCACTTTTGCATTCTTGGTATAAGCCCTATCTGCTCTTGATATATCTGTATATACATTGCTTAATACATAATAAGTATATACATTGCTGGATCTGGTTTGTTAATATTAATTTAGGATTTTTTAGTCTATATTTGTGTGTGAGATTAACCTTAATGTAACTTTTTGATATTGCAAAACGTAATGTAGTATTATCCTTGTCTGGTTTTGATATCAAGCCTAGTAGTCTCATAAAGTTAAGTTAAGGAGTTCATCTCTCTCTCTCGCCCTCTTAATGGGTGGTGTTTATAAGATCAGGATTATCAGCTCCTTGCATGATTGGTAGAATTTGCTTATAAAGTCATCTGGACCTGGTATTTGTGTGTGTGCATTGTATGTGGGTAGAATTCAAATCATAGGTTCAATTCTTTAGTGATTATGAGGCTGCTTAAATTTCCTCTTTTTCCTCTTTCTTCTGAGTTAGTTTAAGTTAGTTGTTTTTAGGAAATTTTTTATTTTTTTCAAAGCTTTCAAAGTTGTTGGCATAAAGTTGTCCATAAGAGTCTTTTAAGATTATTAAAATCTCTACTGTTTTAATAACTGTTTTCCTTTTTTCTTTCTTACTATTTATTTGTCTACTTTCTTTTTTCTCAATTATTCTTGACAATAGTTCATCAGTTTTATAAGCCTTTTAAAAATGAGCTTTTAAATTTGATCTCCACTTTTTTGATTTTATTGATATCTGCTCTTTATTTTATACTTTCTCCTATGTCCTTATTCTTTTTCTATCCTTTGAGTTGGACAATTAGTTCATTACTTTTCAACCATGTCCTTTTCTTAAAAGCATTTAAGGCTGTAAATTTCTGTCCAAATAAAACTTTAGGTACCTTCTGCAAGTTTTTGATATATATAGTATTTCTATCATCATTTGAAATTCCCATTACATGTTTTTTCTTCAAACGTATCTTTTCTGGAAAGTTAGCTTAATCCCACTGTGATCAGAGAAGGTGTTCTATATGATATAGATTCCTTAATATTTACTGAGATTTGCTTTATGGAATAGAACATGGTCATTATGTATAAAGGTCCAAGTGTGCTTGAGAAGAAAGTATATTCTTTTCTAGGGTGCATGATGCTTATATAATCATTAGGTCAAGTTGGCTAATTGTGTTGATCAAATTTTCTATTTTTCTTTTATTTGTGCAATTTATCAATTATCAAATAAGGTATATTAAAATGTCCTAATATGCTTGTATAGTCATCAGTTTCTCCTTTTAATTCTGTTAATTCTGAGGTCATGCTACTGGGTATATTTAAGCTCAGAATTGTAATATCTTTTTGGTAAATTGTTTTTATTATCATTATGAAGTGGTCCTCATTATTTCTAATAATGCTTTCTGCCTTAAACTCTTATTTTGTTTGATATTAATAAAACTACACTAGCCTTTTGGTTAATCCTTGCGAGGGTTATAATATTTCCATTCTTATACATTAAACTTGCTCTGGTGTGTTTTTGTAGAACCTCTTGGATATATTGTTTATGACTAGATTTTTAAATATCTTACTGAGAATTGTTCCCTTTGACTGATCTTTTGGTCAGTTTATATTTATTGTGATTATTGAGTATTTATTTGTACCTCTTAAAGTTTTAATTTTTACTTTATCATAGTTTTCTTTGTTTCTTTTTCTTCTTTCCTCCTTTCTATTGGATTAATCAAGTTTCTTTATTTTTTCATGTCTGCTGCTTTGGAAGTTACATATTCTATTTCTTACTGTTTTGATGTTTACCCTTAATTTATTTTTTACTTTTTTATAGAAATAAAAAAGCACCATTGAAACATAAAGCTATAAGCAGAAAATGCTTGATAATTTTAAAAAGTGAGAACATGTAATCAGCACCCTGATAAACAACTAGAACATTTTCAACACATCAAAAGTTCCCCTTTAGTCTTCCTTTTATTAACTTAACTACCTTTTACTTCTTGTACATAACTATTATTCTGATTTCTAATGGCTTGGCTTAGTTTTTTCTGTTATACTGTTCAGTATATATTCTTGTATCTGGCTTTTGTACTGTACAGTCTGTTTGCTTGTGCCTAGCCTCTTCTCTACATTGCATTTGTCAGAGTCATTTAAATTCTGGGTAATTGTAGGTCTTTCTGTCTCATGGCTATTTCATTTAAAACAAATTAATATATTTCCTACATTTCCAATTAGATTTTATGAGGACAATCTAATGGAAAGTTCATGGGTTTAAAATTAAGCAGATTTAGGACCAAATGTTGGCTGTACTGTTTTCTGACCTTGTGACATGAGGCAAGTCACTTTACCTTTCTTGTCTACTGTTTATTTTTCTGAAATATAAAGAATTGATTCACTTATGGACTGCCTGCCATACAGTGTTCTTTTAGGTATTCGAATTACTTATATCCTTGTAGCAAACCAGATATCCCTGTTTTATAGGTAAAGAACCTGATACTTAGAAAAGTAGAGTAGCTTGCCCAAGGCCATACACCTGGTATACATCGCAGCCAGGATTTTCACCGAGGGTGCCTCGTTGTAAATGCCTTCACTAGAGTCTGTGGAGGTTTCCAATGCTGGGCACCTAGTTGACACTCAGTAAACGTAGGCTCTTTTTTAGGGCAGTGATGATGTTCTATAATTTTATGACAGTTGGCATTTTGCCCTGCACACAGTAGGTACTTCTTCACTAATTATTTATTGTCTCTGTTTATACTGCTGTTCTTTTATTCATTTAATGTTGATGTTCTAGCCAAAGGGAAAGCACAGTCACAAACCAGAGTGAATCTTAACACTGCCTTGGTTGAAGACATAATCAGCTTGGAAGAGGTAGATGAAGAAATGAAGTCTGTGATGGAAGCACTAAAGGATAATTTCAATAAGACTGTCAATATAAGGACCTCACCAGGTTAGTGACTGAACTGGTGTTTTGGAGAAGGTGTAGTGCAAATAGCATGGCTTGGCAGAGCTAGGTTTTAGGCCCAGCTTTGTCACTTTACAACTGATAACCATGGGTAGTTACTTTTCTGGACCTCAGTTTCCTTGTCTAATTCCTATCTTATAGCTTTGGGGTGAGTATTAAAATAAATGAGGTAACATATAATCTTTTGGTACATAGTTGACACTGTATTTATTTATGCATTCAGCAAATATTTGTCTACTGTGAACTATGCATTGTGCTAGTATACAGTGATGAGCAAAAATAGACACGGTCTTAACTCTCATGGAATTACACTCTCAAAAAATGGGAGTTTTATTATGACTCTACTATAAGCACATCTAGGTATTTAGTTTTATAGTAACTGACATCTTTATTCTGATATTCCACTTTGTCCTCTTTGGCCATTCTTATCCCTTACTGGGAACCAAGTGGCTGCAAACCTACTCACCTGAGGCATTTCTGTACCCCTGAGTTTGACCAGGAAGATCTGTTTGGGTTAATAACTTCCTGAAAATGGCTTTTCTAAGTGGGAAATGTCAGAACTGTCGAGGGGAACTGTTTGCAGATGTGATGGAAGAAGTGAGTTGTCAGCTAATGGTGCAGGCAAGCAGGAAAAATCCAATTGCTGTTAAATTGGCCTTTTGGAAGTTGTCATCATCCCAGAGTCAAACCTGGGACCTCCTCTAAAGGTGTCTGTGGAAGCTTGAGCTGTTCCCACTCACATTTTTGTTAGGATAGTTCTCAAGAAACTAAAATATTTCATGAATTTAATTCATAAGAAAACCAAGTGAAAAACAGACAGCTCCATTTATAAACACCAGCAGAAACATACTGAGTTCAGAGATGAGATCCAGTGTGAAACCAGAGGACTGTTCCGTCATTTGTCAACCTTTGGACTAGGGCATTTCTGCCTTTGCTGACAGCAGAGCATGCCATTCAATCTCTCCCAACTGTTTATTTTAAACTTGCTTATTATTTTAGGTATGAAACTGATAAAGTGCTTTGTCTCCCCTGTGCTTTCTGGCCTGTTAACATTCTGCAGCCGAAACCAGAGAGCAGTTTGAGAGGAGCTCAGGGAGAAATGTGATACTTAAAATTAGCCAGCAAGCTCCACTCTTGTTGAACTTAAAAGATGATGGGCCTGGAAGGAGGTTGGGAGTATAATTTGTTAAATGTTAACCTTGAGAAAATGAGGGGCAGGCAGGAGGCTGAGGGAGATTCTCACTGGGGACAGATTGAGGGGAAAAGATTTGATGCATTATGTTGATATGGATTTAGGGAATGGGCACCACCACAGCTGCGTACTGAAAAGCCCATGTTGGGACTTCTGCACCAAAGGATCTTAATGGCAATTGAGGAAGGCTGAGTTAAGATCCATTTCCAGAAGGCCTCCCATTGGTATTTCCTCTTTACCTCTTTCTCCTCAAGGTTATGTTTGTGTACTGTTCTGTGTAGAACTTGGGGTGAAGAAGAGACTGGGTGAAACAGGCTGAGCTTAGCCAGCCTTTTTTTTTTGCACCAGATTCTTCTACATCATCTTTCATTACTATCTGAATCAGCAGCCACTTTTCCTCTTGCACCTCCTTCTGTCTACCCACATTTTCTATCTCCAAGACAGTTGATTGCTTTTAGTAGTTGTGTAATTTGGGTTTATTCATCTGTTTGTTTTTGCTCTCCCGTTCATCCATCCATATGTACACTAATTTATTCATCAGAACATTATGGAGCACGTATTCTTTGCTGATGAATAGGTGTTGTAGATAACAGAGAGAAAAGACCTTGTCCCTGCCTTCCAAGAGCCTAGAGCTTAATTTATGTGAAGGGACAGCCAAGTAAACCAACGTGTGTAGAATCATACAGCATAATTGAGTGCTGAAGACCATGGCTTTAGAATTGGTCAGACCTGGGTTTGAATTCGGGATCTATTAAGAGCTGTTGTGACTTTGGGCAAGTTCCTTTCTGTGCCTCAGTTTCTTCAGCTGAAAATAGTGAAACTATCTCAGAGAGTTCCTGTGATAATGAAAGCAAATGAACTACAGGATGCATTAACACAGTTTCTTGCTCGTGAAAGTGTTCAGCAAATGTTGGTTATCATTGTCATTATTATGGAGGTGTGTGTAGGATTCTCAGGAGCTCAAAAGGTGGTTTGTAATCCAGCCGAGGAGGTCAGAGCAGATTTCTGAGACAAGATGCTGTTGCAGCTGAGTGTTAAAGAATCAGCAGGAGGTAGCTGAGCAGACAAGGGGATTCTCGGAAGGAAAAATACATGCTGAAATTCCTGAGGCAAGAACAGACTGTATTAGAGAAATTTTAAGTAGGTTAGTTTGGTTAAAACAAAAAAATCAAGAATTAATAAGTTAACATTTATTGGGCATTGGTATATACCAGGACTCAGTTATAAGGGCTTTTCATAAATTCTGATTTAATACTCATAACAACCCTGTGAGATAAGTACAATTTTTATACCCCATTTAGAGATCAGGAAACAGTCACCCAAAAGGTTGAAGGAGTCTGCCCAGGGTCACACAATCAGGAGGTGGCAGAGTTGGTGTTTGAGCCCAGGTCAAATCCTTCAGAATCATGGAGGCTACTTTTATTGTTATACCTCCAGGCTTTTTCAGATGGAAGCCAGTGGTGTCAACTATCTTCTGTCTTGTGATGACATTGAATTTGTTTGAATACTGCACGTCAGATCTTTGGGCCACAGTGTGGTACTGCATTATTCTAGCAACAGTTTGCTGGGATAACTCCCAATTTCTTTAAACTACCTTCCTCCTCCCACTTTCTCTTTGTGTCTCAGAATGAGCCATCCATGAGTGGTTCCTACTGTGAACGATAAGATTTTTCTTCTACTTCTTATTTGTATGCACAGCCAGGAAGTTTGAATAATGCCCCTTTTCCATCTGTAACTATGGCTTTATTTGCTTGCCTTCTTGGGTTTCTGAAAATTTTGTCTAGAGTTTTCCAGAATTTAGATATGGATGAACTTCGGATCCCAGATGGCAATTAAATGTTATAGTTGTTGTGTCTTCATTTTTTTTCTTAAAGGGGAGCCGAATTCTAAACTCAAGGTGGGATAAGGCAGTGGTTCCAAACCTGGCTGCATATCAGAATCGTGTGGTGATCTTAAAAAAAACTACAGGCTCCTCTAAGATCACAGTTTCCTTGAACCCCTACCGAATGGAGATCTCTTGGGATGGAGCCCAGGAATCAAAATTGAATGCTCCCTGGAGATTATGATGCACAGCTAAATTTGAGTTTCACTGGTATAAGGGAAAGACCCTTGATTGGAATCAGAAGTAAGCACATCTGAATTTGGGGCTTGGTTCTTGATTGTTTTCCCTTTTATTAGCTCTGTGATCTTGGCTTCTTCAACCTCCCCAACTCCTTTTCTCATATGTAAAGTGAAGATAGTAATACAGTGTGACAGAGTAGTTGTAATAACTAAAAGCATTAATAAGAGGTACTTTTTTATGCTTATTTTGTTGGCGCTTATTATATATTTGGTTTATACTTAGCTATAATCATCACTTTAATCCTGTAAGCTAGTTATTTTTTGACTGAGTTGGAAACCAAGACAGAGAAAGAAAAGTAACATGGTTGATGTTTTCAAGTAAATGGCCAAGTTGCTGGAGGGGTGACCAGTTCTTTCCAGTTTCAGCTCTAAAAACCCTAGGTCACAGAAACCTCTCAGGCCCAGACAAACCAGGATGGCTGGCCACCCTGGTTGCTGGTAAGGAATTCCAACCTAGTTCTGTCAACATTTCAAAGCTTTTTCCATCACATGATCCTGCTGCTCCTAGAAAGCCCCTTCAACGGTCTTCCACATTGATAAGGGATCCCTAAATATTGGTTGGATCTGAATCAGATAGGAACTTAGTTATGGGGCTACTAAAGTCCTTCCTAATTCTAAGACCCATTATTTTTCTTTTAGGATCATTTGATCATATCACTGTGGTAACTGCTGATGGGAAGCTTGCTTTAAACCAGATTGGCCAGATCTCCATGAAGTCACCACAGCTGATACTGGTGAATATGGCCAGCTTCCCAGAGGTAAGGTGGCCTTGCCAGAGGGTCCTTCCCCATGGTTTCTTTTGAAATGGAGGCTAGATCAAGTCAGGGGGAAGTATTCTCTCTATCTCTGGATGAAACAAGAGCGAAGGCGTAATAAAGGAAACTTAAGGATAAGGAAAGCACTCTTCCTGTTTCTAAATTCCTTTTCAGTTAACTTTAAACACAGTAGAGGCCAGGCAAGTAATTGAATACTGAAACGGGCCCTGTCTAAGAAAAACATAAGAAAAACAATAGTGTTGCTGTAGGGATTGGCACTGAGCCAGCGTGGAGGGGGCTGTGGGAAACTGGAGAGATTGTGCCCTCTGAAGGGAGCAGCTTGTACCCAGCAACTTCTGGTTGTTGCCAGGCAGAAATGTAGGCCTGGCAGTCCACGTTACTAGATAGGAAGATGTTTATTTCCGAAAGAAGCCAGTAACCCAAATTTTTATGAAAGATCTTTGTTAAATATTGGCGACTAATACACTTTTTTTAAAGACTATGAGACAAAATATATTAATGGGTCATATTTGGCCTGTGGGCCACCAGTTTGTGATCTGCTTTAGTATTTGGAGCAGACCTTCCAGAAATTCGCCTTCCATTCAAACTGGACTGACCACTCTAGAATATCGCACAAAGCACCAAGGCTGGAAGGTGGGTTGCATTAAATCATTGCAACCTTGGGGCTATGATTTTTAAGTCTAGTTGAGGAAGATAAATGGGTTTTTCCTGGTTTGTCCAGTAAGAATTGACCTGATTGAGAGTCCTAGAGGGCCTGGAATCTGGTCCTGTCTCTACTGCCAGTTGGCTGATCTGTTGCTGTGAGGTAAAGGAATCTGAAGTTTCCCCCTGTTCTGATTGTCTTTTTTGGTACTTAAACCCCAAAGACATAGATCAAAGTTGAACCTGGATTTAACAAACTGGGTTAGAGCTGTGAGTAAGGGAAAGCCCTTGCTATGAACAAGCTTTCAAATCAGAGGGCTCTTGTAGCTGATGTGCCAGGCACACTTGGGGAGGCTATTACCACTCCCTAATTCCACTCTCCATACTGGAGTTAGAATGAACTTTAAAAATATGTAGGGGATTATGTTATGCACATGCTTTAAGCTGATTAGTGGCTTCAAGTAACCTTTAAGAAAAAGATTGTTGTGGCCTAAAAGGCTTTGCATGGTCTGGCCATGCCTGTCTCCTAGTCTCTCCAGTCCTGTGCATCGCCATCCTTGCACACTGCTCTTTCAGTTCCTCAGACCCACTTACCCTTTGCCTTCTCAGGGTCTTTGCATATGCTCTTCCCTTTGCCTGGGACACCCTTGCTTGGCTAATTGCTACTTGTATTTTAGATTACAACTTACATAGCTCTTTTCAGGGAAGCCTCCCCTAACTACTCAATCTAAATTATTCCTCCACATTAACCTCTCTTGTACACACAATTCTTTTTCTTCATTCCACTTATCATTAATAGTTCACATTTATTTACATATTCTATTTTCCATTTCACTTTCACTAGATCGTAAGCTTGGAATGTAGAAATCATATCTAACCTATTCATTGTGTCCTGCACCTAACACAGTACTTGGTGACTGGGAACTCAGTAGATTTTCCTCAAATGGATGCATACTTGTCATTATGTTGATGGAAGGAAGGCACTCATTCTTGGTGTTACTGAGGAGCAGAGAAATGGGTGAAAGGGAACTGTCTCATCTTCTTCTCTTTCTGGCTCCCTCTGAACTGCTGAGGCTTCTCCACCTTGTTTATCTAATCCCATAGGCACTGCGGGCCAAGTGGGGAATAGCCTCCTAATTACACAGCTTGAAGACCTCATCAGGCAGATTTCTTTTTAGAGCCAACCACTTCTGTTATTAAATAGCAAATGGCATTCACAGAAGAAGCACCTGATTGGCCACCAGAGCATCTTATGAGGCAGAAGAAGGTAGTAACCACTTAATTTTTTCTTAGGAAGTTGGAGTGTATATTCATTTTTCAACCAGTGCATCTTGGCCATTTCTACAAGTTGAAATTCTGTGGGTTTTGGAAAAAAACCTTTACAGTCATCTCAGTAGACAGGTTCTTTACAAGGACAGAGTGAGGAAGTGTGAGTTACATTGTCTTTTGAATTCCTTTATCTCATCTGGTATATATACTAAACAAATCATTCTAACTAAACATTTCCTTCCTCCAGTTTAGAAGCTGTCCATAGAGTACCCAGGTTCATAGCTTCAAAATGCTGAGCTAATCCTCTCTGTGTTTATGTAATTCCTTTCTGTTTCACATGCGGTTGGCTTTCTTTACAAACCTGAGCATTTCTGTGTCATGCTGTAGTGACACAATGCAGATTTACATGCATAATCTTTTCAAATGCATTGAAGACAGAAAACTGTTGCATTTGTTTAACATGTGTCCTGCTTGATAAATGATACATGCAGTTGCTGCCTTTCATAAACTTGCCTGCAGCTAGAGTTAATGATGGGAAAGAAAAGAAACAAGTGAAAAAGCACAGATTATTTGAACAAGGCAAATGAAAAAAAAATTCTGCAGGCTCCATTACTGCTCTTGTAGAAGGAAGAAAGCTAATGTGAATTGAGTGTCTACTGTGTTACTGGACACTATGTTCTCAAGTTTTGTTTCAGGTGGTCAGCACAGGTACTCTCTAAAAGCATTATTTATTCCAGTATATAGATGAGGACACTGAGACTCAAAGAAGTAAACTATCTTCCCCACGTTCATACTGTTGTGATAGAGCCAAGATTTGAACATAGGGCTGTTTGACACTAAAGCCTGTGCTCCTTTCACCATTTACTCATTAATTCAACAAGTATTTTTTGAGTCCCTGCAAGTTACTAGGTTCTGTCTGAGGTACTGAGAATTCATGATGGTAAAGACAGACAAATTCTGTGCTTTCACAGACCTGATATTCTAGGGGCCCATTGGGATATAAAGCAAGCAGAAGGCCAGTAATTGAAATGGCACCAATAAAGTTGACTTGAACCCAAATTGGCAAGGTCATGTTCATCTATCTACAAAAGTTTATCATCTTTTGTCCTTTACCATAAGGATTAGTTTAAGAATAGTGAGAGCAGTTAATTGACCATAGCATTCTTGCCTGCCTGACCCCACATGAAGTCTGTCTTTCTCAACATAGTACGCCAAGCAGCCATAACCAGTCAGTCATTGTTGCCATTTGAGAACAGTTTGTTTGCCTTGGGGTACTGGTGAGCATCTCTTCAGTGAGGGGGTAAGGCCTAAGAGATGGAAATGTGATAGAAATATATGCCTTTTTGTCTGAACCACAAATAGTTCAGAAATCATGTTGGGAAAATGACTGTAATTCCCTAAGTGTCTCTTCCTACCATATCAAACTGAAATATGCATATTTCAAATACTGAAGAACTGTCTCTTTTAGTAGGTTTCTTTGCAAGTGAAACCTCTCTTGATTCATGGTTTTTCTGCATATGCAAGACACAGAACCAGTAAAGTATAAAATAAGGGGATTTAAATTAAAATTTTGTGGGGATTATATTCATGAAATCAAAGGAAGGAGATGAGTTTTTCCTAACAGATCTGAGCCAATTCATTACTATATTCATTCAATAAACTTTTACTGAGCACTTACCATGTACCTGGTACAAGCCTTGTACTGGGAAGATGCAGATATTGAGACATAGTTCTTACCCAGCCGAGGAGCAGCAGCGGGTGCTCTGGTGCCTATAGGGGAAGGTTGTGTGGAAACATTTGGGTCAGGTGGTGAAAAGGAGGTGGTGGTGGTAAAATGTTAACAGCTGACTTGTCAGTAGTTCAGTGAGCAGCTTTAGAAGAGGAGGATTGGGAGATTGAGACCAGGCCACTCCTTCCGAGTTAAGATTCTGCCTATATCGTTAACTTGAGAAGTCTGGGTTTCATTTTCTCAAGATGGTAGCTGTCTTGCAGGGGAAACCTTAATTTCTGTACCTGGAGGTTTCATTTACCTTGGCCATCCCCTTTATGCAGTAGACCTAATTCCAAATTATTTTTTACTCTATTTTAAAAAAAAATCAGGTTCCCTGTGCCACAACTACTACATACATTGAGGTAGGGGATCTGGAAGAAATACCAAGTAACATCATAATATGGAGAGTGGAGGAGTCCAGAAGCTCCTCCTCTCTTGGCCGGTAACCAGAGGCATGATGGGTAAGGTCCTCACTTTATTGCTCTTGGCTCTCAAGGAAGACTGTATCTGTGCCTAGGGATGTGACCTTATCCAACAGGTCCCTGCATACATAAGCAAGGGACAGTACTTGGTTATGTCAGAGATGCTTTCCAGCTCCATACTCTGTGGTCATAGTCAGTGGAACCATTTTAGGAAGTTACTATTTTAAGCAATGGCCACACTGTTTTTTCTGTGTACAGCTTCCAAAAGGGATGATTTGTCTACATGTGGAATTCTGGTTTGTTTTTTTGACCTTATGATAACACCTCACATCCCTGTAGAATGAAAGTCATTTCAAAATGAAATGGATGAGCTTTTTCAGCACTCCCGTCAAAAAAAAAAAGTAAACCTGGAAAAGTAAACTAGGTGTACCAGTAACCCCATTCATTTAAGCCAGAAAGTCTAGGGAGGAACTCAAGGCTGAGAATTGGCCCTGTGAATTCAAGTGTTGTGGTTCTGGTCAAACCTAAAGTTCTTTTGAAAATGTCAGAGGCCTTATTTTCAAGAATTCCACATTGTTGTGCCCATGCCATATCTCTGTCCCACATGGCTTTCTTTTATCTTTTAGAGTTGCATGCTGGGTGTACTTACGTTACAGTTGTAGTATAATGTAGTTAGAATGGGGTGAGGCGACGTCCTCTGGGAAAAGAGTGTATCGCTGTGTCACCTGGCACATTTGAGAGCAAGATGTGTCAGAGAAGACCCTGGAGGAGGTCAGGCAGGACAATAGTGCATCAGCTAAGTGATGACATCTACTCAGCCTTATATGAGAGTTTTGTGCATTCTTACCTTCATACAGTAGAGTATATAATAATGCCCTTTGTCTGGTGTTACTGTGTGCCAGGCATGGTGCAAGATTCATTGCTCGTGTTGTCTCATTTAATCCTCTCTGAAGTATAGTTACCACGTAGTCTCAGATTAGGACCCGGAGGCTCAAGTTTGTGGCCCAGGGTCACACAGTTAGCAGAGCTGGGATTTGAATGGAGCTCTTTCTGACTCCAAAGCCCGTGCTTTTCACTAGTATACCAATCTGCCGTTGCTGGAGCACACACCAGTGGAGATTGGTTGCTCATTCTGAAACATGAGGAGGCTGGTGTGAGTGTAGATGTGAATGAGTTAAATTTATTTACTCATTCTAAATCGGCACTGGTATATTTTGAGTGTAAAATGTCAACTGGAATTTTTAAGTATAAAATCTTTCATCTGTCTTTACACTAGTTTTCGCACAGACCAGCCCCACTCCCTTGAGGATTTGTTGTGGTTTTGATCTGTGTTGCCTCAAACCATTGAAATCTTTTCAAAGAAGCAGAGCTGTTTTCTTTTTATTTTTTCCTTCTCTTTGCTTTTTTCCCTCCTGCAGTACACTGGTATGAGGAGTGGACATAGTTTGCTGTTCAGCTTGATCAAAGCACTCTACACCAATGTAACTTCCTGATCTTACTGGTAACAGAACTAAATGTTTCCATGTTCTGCCAAGATGGGTTGCCAGTTATCGACAGAAGACTTGCATCTGGTAATAATTATTTACTAATTCTGTTTACCTTTTGATCTGGTTTTCAGTGTACAGCTGCAGCTATCAAGGCTATAAGAGAAAGTGGAATGAATCTGAACCCAGAAGTGGAAGGGACACTAATTCGGGTACCCATTCCCAAGTAAGTTTGACTGAAATCCACATATTTTGATGCAGTGGGGCAGTTGTCTTTGGAATGAAACCAACCCCACCATGATACTGCTGGGCTGATACCATATTTTACCTGCGCCTCATATCCTGGCAATCTCCATCATCTTTTGAGATACAGTTTACTGATTCAGAAATATTTGAGTGCCTTCTTGGAGTGAGGGGCGCAGCAGTAAACCTGACAAAAGTCCTTGCCCTCGTGTAGTTTACTATTGGTGGGGAAGATAGACCCTTCAGTAGAGAAAGTCATTCCAGATAGTAAAATGATACAAGGAAATAAAAGGCAATGGAGATCCATTAGAGAGTGACTTGATAAGGGTGGTGGTGGCAGGGACAGCTTTAGCCCAGGAGGACTCTTTAAGGAGGTAAAACAGTTTTGCTGAGTTGAAGGAGGAAGAGCCGGCCTAGGGGAAGAGCTTTCAAGGCAGAGTGAACAGCCAGCACAAAGGCCCTGAGTTACAAAAGACCTCAGCAGTTGTAATCTCTAACCCGTGTTCCTTGAAGAGTTATTTTTTGCATTTTTCCTTGCTTGTTGAAGTTTTAGGCATAAAAATGGAATATTGTTAATTATATAAATACATAAAACTTAGAGTTTTAAATGAATAAAAATGAATGTTTATTTTTAAATTAGAAAAGAAAAGAAATGACAAGACCTTGGCATGTTTGAGAAAGAGAAAGCTGTTATGTACAAACCTCAGGGAGGGACGGAGAGAGAGTGGTGGGAGCGGGTTGGACTGGTGGGTAGAAGGTGGCGGTTTAGGCTCTATAGGCCATAGTGAGGAGTTTGGGCTTTATTCTAATAATAAAGGGAAGTCATTGGAGGAATTTAAGCAAAGGAGTGACCTTATCTGATGTTGACTTTGTGGCGTACTGATTAACAAATGGAATGTAGGGGGATAAAGTAGACACAAGGAGAATAGTTGGGAGGCAGCTGCAGTAGTCTGGGAGAGAAACAATCTTTGTAGATTCCATGCAGAATTAGTTTCTCCTTCCATAATCTCATCTCTAATTATCTTTAAGGCCATATGCCTATAGTGTCTCACATATAGCAAGTCTCAAGTAAGTGCTCAATTAATTCACTCAGTCATGCAACAAATATTTATGAAGCCCTGACTATGTGTCAGGCACCTTCCTAAGCTGTTGAGATACAGCAGTAATCAAAACAAGCAACAAAAAGCCCCTGTCCTCCTGGGTTTACACCGTAGTTAAGTAGGCACAGTAAACAGAAAACAGATAAATACATGATGTAATGTCAAGTGATGATAAGGACTATGAAGAACAATAAGCAGGATAAGGGGGTTTTCTTGTAGATAGGAAGGTTCAGGAAGGAAATGAATGACATTTGAGCAGAGACCTCAGTGAAATGACTGAGTAAAGCTTCCAAGTAACTAGAAGGGAAATGAAGTGTAACACCAGTTGACAGTCTTTTTGTGCCACATGTGTATATTCCTATATATTCCTTTACATATATTGTCTCATTTGTCATATAATCCCTGTGATGTAGATTTTTTCCATGTATAGAAATTTAGGCTCAGAGAGGTAAAGTAATATATCTGTGGTCACACAGCTTATGCTGAAGCTGGGACCTAAAGCCAGTTTTAGTTGATTCCAGAGCCTAATGTGTAGTCATGCTAGCAACAAGAATAAGTCCAGGAACTTTCCTCACTGAACTTTTTTCTGCTTTATAGCCAGAAAATGGCCATCTTATTCTATTGTTGCTCTTTAAGCCAGAATTAACACTGCTTTAAAATCACATGAATTGGGAGCAATATAATAACCTAGGCCAGTTATAGTTTGCTTGGTTATAGGAAGTTTGCTTGGTTCAAGGCCAGTACTAGTTTGCTTGGTTAGTTCATTGATTTACTCAGCAAATTTTCTGTATATGTATCATGTGCCAGGCTCTGCACTGACTGCTGGGGATGTGCCTTCATGGAGCTCACAGGCTGTGCCAAGCCCCTTGTTTATGTTATCTGCATCTTACTTGTGGAATTTACTATTACCCACAGTTTATAAGTGAAAAAAAATGAAGTTCAGAGAAATTAAGGGACTTGCCCAAGTTCATGTGTCTAAAAGAGGCAGTCAGGATTTGAATCCTGAGTTTTTTTGTTACGAGAGTACAGGCTCCTTCTCCTCTACTGTCCATGTAGATGGTAATTTTGGAAAGTACTATGTGTACTTACAGACATTAGAGGCAAGACTTGTAACTGGAATGCGTAGTTGTCAGTAGGTTTATTTTTTAGTTTCTGCTCTCCCAGCTGTCTGTGCAATGTTGGAAAAGCCCCTTAGCCTGCCCGAGCCTCAGTTTCTCATGTACCAGATGAGGGAGTTGTTCTCAATGGCCTGCCGCATCCCTTCTGGAGCTCCAGAATTCTGTGATGCTATCAATTTATGCTGCTAAATGCTCATTGTTAACTTGGATTGTTCTTGGAGTGGCCTGAATATGTATCATATTTTTCTTTCAAAGGCTTAGTTGACATAATGTGCACAGCCCTACAGGAGTTAATGATTGCCCTTGTGCATTGTATATAAGTTTGAAGGATCAGTGAGTTTAACTTAAATTTCCAAAGACTTGGGGATCTGTTTCATTATATTTTAAATTATTTTATGTTGGTTAATGGGCATAATCCAAGAGAAAGTTGACAGACCAAAACCGTCTGCTCCTACAAACCTAATTTTTTATGTACTTTCTTCCTTTTGACAAGGTGGGAAGGTCATGAGGCCCCTTACTGAACTGTGCGTTTGGTAGTTTTCCAGATAAAAAATGAATGATCTGTTACTCATTATGGAGGCTGTGTCATGTGAAAGGATAAAGGTTGATTTAGATGTGAAGAGGACCAAGGTTTTTATTGGTTATGGCACATGACTCTGGACACATCACCCAAGCAGCTTGCTGCTTTCTAGTTCCTTATTTGTAAAATAAGTGAAATACTTTATAATAATAGGTAGAGATTTGGTGGGATTAGTAGAGAAAATAGGTTAAGTTGTGATCTCCTTAGAGGAAAGAAGCTGTATAAATATAAAGTACTAATATTTTTTCAGTACTTTTTATTTTTTTGATATATGTAATTTTACTTAAGGAGAAAAGGAAGGAGTAAGGAAGGGATCTAATATGTTGAGTACCTACTATGTGCCAGGAACTGTTAGGTGCTTGACATATACAGGGAAAATGAAGTATGATCTTAAATGTGTGCCTTGGTATCACAAAGGCATGAAATTGAGTTCTAGCTCTTCACTTTTTTGCTGTGTGATAATGGCAACTGCCTCCACCTTTCTGAATCTCAAAGAACTCATCTGTAAAATACTTACAGGACTTGCCTTGTGTGGTTATTGGGCATTTTCAGTGAGATAATGTACACAAAGCATTTGATGTTTAGCGAGCACCTCGTCAGTGCTGCCACATGGTCCTTCATTCCCTGTCATAAATAGGTAGGAGCATCATTCCCTTTTGATGAAGAAACAGATTCAGAGAGGTGAGGCATTGGTTCTGGGTCACACGGCTGGTAATTGGCAAAGCTGTGGGAAGGGAAGTAACAAACTAAAGCTTATGTTAGAAGTTTGGGAGGTGGGAGGGTATCAGAAGCATAAATTCCTAGGAACAGTTTCCGATTATAAAATTTTAAGTTTAGTTCTAGGAAAATTTACCTCTGATTGGTTATGATTCTTCCTCTGCAAGTCTGCTTTCTTGCCTTAACTCTGGGTGCCCAGAGCTAAGTTTTATTTTCAGTGGCAGCAGATCTGAGCTAGTACCTCAGCCTCATTACACTCCTCTGATTCTTACAGTCTTACTTAAATGAGTCTGCTGAGTATGTGACTCTTACTATATCTGCCGCTGATCCTTTTGGGAAGCACATGGGAGATAAATCCTACCTCGGTGACAGGTCAGACTTGGAGCCCGCGTGGTCCCTGTTGCCTCTCCTCACAGCCTCGGAGAAACCAGCTGTGTGGCCGTGCTGTGTGTGGGGCTGCCTCAGGACTGGCAGTGAAGCGCCGTCCTGCCTCAGCGGCTCTGTGTCATATCCATCCCCACTGACAGTGTGTATAGCTTTTGTTTTCCTCTCTGGCCAGTGTTTTTTCATTTAGAGAAGTCAATCAGCTGGATGGACTCTGAGTATTTCTGTTAATCAAGATTTGCTGAAATGGTTCCTTCTCCTTTTCTTTCCTATTTATATAATCAAATTTTGGGTACTGTTTATTAACCATCAGTGCTACAGGGATAGTGCCAAGAGGTGCTGTGCTGAATGCTTTATAGTTTCTCACAACATGAGGTCAGGAGACTGTTCTGATGCCCATTTGACTGAGTGGACACCTGAAGCTCACGGAAGTTCATGTCCAATGTCTCACAGCTGTTAAGTGGCAGAAGCAGAGTTAGAGTGCGGGTCTTTTTCACTGGCTTTGTCCCTGTTCTTGTCTCCTGATAGCGTGTCTCACTGGAATAGTAGTCTTTCGCTTCTAGATCAAGGACCTTGGACATTTTGAACCAGAGTTGCTCTTGATCAGGCCATATTTCTGCCCCACCACTCACATCTTCATATGTTGGCTCCCAAACCAACCAACCAACAAATGAACACTCCCGCACCCATCGTTTACCAAATACTGATGAGATAGCCACACAGAGCAGAATGAGGCTGCTTTGGTTTGAGAGCCCTGAGTTCATGTCTGGCTTTAAGTAAACCTGTAAGGAATGAATTCACCAAAGAGATGAAAGCATATATAATTGACTCATTCCCCACTGAGGCTGCAGCATTTCTTGATAATCCTCCTCTTTCATTATTTTTCATCAATGTCTGCATGGGTTTTATTTTTAGTAGAACTAAATAAGGAATTAAAATACCTCCATCCCATTCTCTGTAGGGAGCCACTTTTAGCACCTTGATTTTTCACATTTTTTTCTCTGCAAATTCAAGCATGTGTACATTTCCTCATCCATTTTTCTTGTTGTGATATGGGATTATATTATACATGCCGTTCTGTACT